TCACCACTAAGTTCCTATGAACACCATCCAACTTCACCATCATATCGGCTTACTGACGTCATAATATTGCATTATCATCTGACTTACATGTTTATCCTAAACTTCAAATCTATCGGATATTGTTCCAAGATTTGCGCACTAAAAAACATACTAACAAGGCAAGTTACATAAAAGCTTGTAAAAAATATACAAGTAATAACTTCCACAACTACAACACTAAAAGATACTCACAGGTATTATGATGTAACGAGTGCACACTGACATCAGGGTCATCACACTCCAACAAACTGCCGTCTAGCCGGTTGAGCTGATGATGTTGCCTCAACTCCTCAACCAACTCCTTCAGGGACTGAACGTTGCGTCGTTCCACACTCAACTGTTCTGACAGCTCGATCACACGAGCCGCGTCCTGTTGGCTTAAACTTACCCACTTGTCACGCTCTTGTTTCAATTCATTTACCTAAAAAATATATAACATTTGGACAACATAAGATGAGTTATAAAATGAACAGCATAAACTATGCTTTTATTTTGCTTATGCGTCGTTCTTTTATGTTGTAAATTGATTTATGCCAGTTTTTTGTTCTTGTATCTATGACCTGATGAATAGACTACTGAGACTGAGACATATATTTTTATTAAAAGTTTCATTTATTTATATGCACCTTATAACTGCTAAGAGATGTAATGTAACTTTAACTGTTTCTTTGCAAAAATATTGTACATAGATGTTAATAGAACTAAAGACAATAGGGGCGACTACCCATTTTTGTTTGTTTGTCCGTCAGGTAGATTATTGAAAAATATTAAATGCGTATTTTTTATATTTTTTGTGTAATCAATAAATAACTGCGATAAATTGAAATGTAGCATGACATCACTCTTTTGTACATTTACTACAAAACTGTGACGTGGGTGCTCGCTACGTCACAATTTCGTACTCCTCAAATTGAATACCAATTATCTTTGTCATTTCTTATTTGAATTGAAGCAAAAAAAATGCGTATCTAATGTTATTCTATTATCTGACTAACGCACTAAATAGAATTTCTTTTTTTTTAGCCAATTGTCATGCCTATTCAAATAAAATCCACTATCAAATGAAAAAAAAAAAGTATTTACATAATTTGATAATTAAAGTAAGCTTAAACTAATATGTAGCATGGCGAATCTTCGTTAGCGCTATGCAGATGTACCAATACCGACGATGATCATTCACAGGGAGCCTTATATCAATAATCATAAGGCATAAAATACAACGCATCTGTCCTTTTCATTCTCACTCAGCGGGGGTGAGGCGCAGATGTACCAATACCGACGATGATCATTTACAGGGTGCCTTATTTCAATAAACATAAGGTATAAAATACATTGTATCTGTCCTTTTCATTCTCACTCAGCGAGGGTGAGGCGCGTGGGTATCAGTGGATCGCCCGATGGCGTGATACTTGAATCATTATAATTAGTTAACATTTGCCGAGCTACGAAATTCGGTATTGGTCTTACTGTAACATCTTGAAGAATTGTAGATAAAGACACCTTAACACATACCTTAACTTTGTATGCATCTCTTTCATACAGTGCCTCATCCAATTGACCCTGAGTCTCCACCAAACGCTCCTCTGTCTGTTGAAGCTCTTTCATTAGTTTTGCAGTGCCCTCTGCTACTTTATCCCCAGGCTTTGACTCAGACTCTTGACCGCAGCACATGGAAATCTTTGCTTTAAGATTCACTATGTCCAATTTGTATTTTTCCTTATCTTTGGCTGCGAAGGGAATATTTATTTCAGGATAAAAAAAGAATTATATATATATAGCTCGCAACTCGTGTCGCCACACGCTGGTAGTCGGTTTCATGCTCGATAATAGAATGCGTCATAATGCATATATAAAATCGATCGCGGAGGGCAGTGCGGTCTAGATATTATCTGACTTTAGGTTTTAGCAAAAGTGGAAGGATGCAGAAGCCGAGAAACAACTAAAATAACCAAATCAATCTCGTGCTGTTAGTAGGTGATTGCAGAAGTCATAAAATCAGGCGAGTATATATGAAAAGATAATGAAAGCGGATAAGACGAAAGATATGTGTAAGTACACTTAGTGGCGTTCAGACCTCTCTGTCTACCCCTCAAGGAATACGGCGCGTAGAAATAAATAGATTTTTGTTTGTAATGACTAGCAATACTTTAAAACATCAATGCATAAAAATTTACTTAATCTTTACTATCTCAGATCTCGAAGATTGTGTCACCTTAGATGATGACAAGTGAGCTTTAGCTACTTGGATGTGAACAATATATATCTCGCAGCCAAGTGGTAATAATCAGCCGACCAATTGGGCAGCTCACCCTTTAATTGTAGGGCGCCGTTCAATTAACAGGCAGACTTTCAATCAGCTGAGTAGCTGAAGTTAACTGTGAACTCACAGGGAACACAGATATTTATTGGTAGGATTAGAAGTAAAACAAAATATATATTGTAGTGGATGATTTTATATAACACTGAAAAACTCCTCCATCAATCTGCAATTGTTACAGATACAAGACTGATCAAAAAGATATTAACAAACTCCTTATTCATGACTGATTCGTAGATGGTCTGTATGATACAAAAAACTAAAGTAAGCCCAAGTGGTTTAAGCTTAAACTTTCATAATAAATTCTTAATACTAATACAATTATGCAATGACAAGATATACCACTATTCAGAAGGCTACAGTGCCATATATCAAAAGCAAAGTTAGCAATGTATGATTGTTTTAGTTTGTTTATTACGATAATATGTAGTTAACTACAACACAAAATGATAAACAATGATGTTATTTTGGTTCTGTAGGTGATGTGATAGGTTAGACATTTAAGTAGTTTAAATAAACAAAACTTAATGAAAGTTTTAAAGACTTAATGAAAGTTTAGAATCTTCAGTCTTGTCGAATGCTCCAAATGTCATAATGATTCAATGAGAAAAGTAGATGTGCAATTAAATAGCTATCCACCCAATTAAATGGCTGTTGTTAACAGGAACTGTAATTATTATCTTGATTGATATTTGAAAACTTTAACAATCTGAAAAAACCTTTCAAGAAGTATCTAGAAAATAGACGTCACATATACCAAAACAGTATAGATAATTAAAAGTTTCATTTGTGTACTTACACAACTTCTCAACTTGTAAGTTGGTCCTGGCAAGCTCCTCCTGCAAGAAGTTACGATCAAACCGTTCAGCCTCAAGAGCAGCCTGTAGCCGTCGCACCTCACCATGTAACGATCGTAGAGCTGGTGGTGTTTCCAAAACTAACTGGTGGGTACTGCCTTGTTCATTTAAAACTTTACTAGGATTGCAGGCGTCTGTAAATATAATAAATGAATATACTACATAAGATAAACTATGCCGACAAGTTTGCAGGACAGCAGCAGTGATAGTACAATGTGCTTGAAACAGCATCATGCAATCTTGAACCTGTATGGTAGCTAGCATTAGATGCCAGCATGAAGTACAACCCAAGTTTAAAATAAATTAGTACCTACTAAACAAAAACTCCATTAATTTGTTTCATGGAATTAAAAATCTAATTTTGGGTATGTAAAATAAAATTACATAATAAATGGATGAGACAAGTGGAATATAAAGTTTCTCCTGGTGAATATGAATAATTATAATGATCTCTTAAAGCAAAAAAATATTGTGAAGAAATAAATTGACTTTTTGTTTATATTTTATGATAGTAATATTGAAAATACTATTTTAAATCTGTGTCATTATTTGGCAATTACTTTTAACATTTTTTAAATTAAATAAATTGAGTGACAAGATACAATACTAACTTCTATTTTATCAAAATTGCCAATGTTCATAGCTTAATAATTTATTGGGATAATTTATATAGTCTCTGTGGAGCCATTCCAGCTAGTATATCGGTTTCCAGGTGTTGCTATCTCCAATGTCCCAAGTTCGATTCCCAGTGGGTTTAATGTAGAATACACTTTTCTATATTGTCATATAACTGCCTTGGGGTACCTTTGTTGTGCCTTGGGGCACCTTTGTTGTTTCAGACTTCCACAGATACTATGGAGATTTTAGTATTAATTTTTTTTTTGGTCATGCCGCTTTTTTTTGACTTAACAGCCATGGCAATAAATAATAAAATACAATATGTTGATTCTCACCAATTATAGCATTGTGTATATCTTTATACATTATGGGTGTGCACTCCAATAGGCATTTACTGAACTTCAGTATGACTTCCTGATCATCTGTACTCAGTTTACTGCACATTGCACTTTTGATATCGATATCTTTAGAATTCACGCATACAAAAAAGAGTAAGAGTGACAGAACCATGTACAAATCGTCTTCACTACTAGCTTCAACAGTTCCATTTACGAAACAAAATGCTGGATACTTCTCTTGAAGAAACTCCTCGACAGTGTGCGCCTCTAATACAGATGACTTGGACTCATCTAAACTGAGATTTTCTCGCAAATGTGATATAATATTAAGAAGTAAATCTTCAGTAATATATGTATCTACACTATCACTTTCAATGAAGTAACAGTTTATCTGAAATAAATCGTTAAGACTCGATTAACACAATAGGAAAAATGTTATAAAATACATGACATCTTGATATATTACCCAATTGGTAAGGATGTTTTTCCATTTCTGTAACATGATGAATAACTTATTCACATAACCAGCGTACGCATAAACTTACGCTTTAACGAATATTATCACAAAAAGATAATTCATAAATAAACAAACTATTTCATAACAGTTGTTTTGAAAAAAGTAGTCAGTCAGTCACCGTTGAAGTTTTGAATTAATTTTTTTTCTTTTTAATCGGTTGATTTAGAAAATGACATTTCAAATAAACATTCGTTCAATCAAGGCTGCCAACTACAGTCTTCTCATGGTCTTCTATGGTCCGAAGTTATTCACGTCAAGGGCAGCCTAGAGTAAACCAACCTAACCGCATAAATCCTTATCAATTATACCAACTTAATAACACACAGAAGTACACAACAACAAGATACATAATATCGTATAATATAAATCTGTGATAATATCCATCAAACTGCAATAATATCCATAATCTGTGTCCATAATGCCTCTTACACGTGCAGCTGGATTAATTATTTTCAGAAAGATTAACCAAGTAGTTCAATATCTTATGTTGCAAACATCGTATGGTGAACATCACTGGACACCACCTAAAGGTTATATTTTATGAAATATAATTTAATTAAAAGTGATTAGTAGGTAAAATTTTATAGTAATTTAATAACGTGTGATTATTATGAGTCTTTATTTTCATGGACTTAGTAGTTATACATAAGTAAGTATGTACTAAGATAATTGAAGAACTACATTTATTGAGATATTAGTTTTTATACTAATTAATGAATTTCTAAAAACTAATTCATACAATAACCTGATTATATATTTTTTTTCTTTCATAGGTCATGTTGACCCAGGAGAGTCGGATTTTGTAACTGCCCTCCGAGAAACACGGGAAGAAGCAGGTTTATCTGAAAGTGACTTACAAGTAAATTACATAAATTTTGTTAATTTTTCAATTTACTGGAACAATTTCTTTAATCAAAACTTTCTCTATTTTAGATTTACAAAGAAATTTCCAAGTCATTAGAGTATAAAGTGAAAGATAAACCAAAAGTGGTTGTATATTGGTTAGCTAGATTAAAGGATCCCCAAACAGAAGTAAAACTCTCTGATGAACATCAAGATTTCAAGTGGCTTGCACTCGAACAGGCCCAAGAAATATCAGGCTACAATGATATGAACCAATTACTTGCAGAATTTCATGAAAAAGCTTTAAGAATTTAATGGTCATTGATATTTGCTTTATTGAAAACTTGTCATGGTACAATCAACAGCACGTCAGGTTATACATATTGTCAAATTGTATTGATTATTTTGATTTTAAACCTTAATGCATTGAGTGTAGAATTTAAAATCAATTGGAGAAATTTGATTTTGTGTAGATTCTCCATGTTCATTTAAAAAGCATGTTTGTGATAAACTTAAGTTCATATATTTACATGAAAATATTGTTCTATTATCTAATAAATTACTAATTAAGTTATCCTAGTTTTATTTTTGCAGTTATTATCATAGTGCGATTTATGTTCAATTTTTAACTTATAAAATATATTTTTTCAGCAGTTATATCATTAATGAATGCAAAATATCCCCAATATGAGTACATAATTTTAGAAATAAAAATGCAGGATGCTTCAAAGGTGGCCATCTCATTTTTTCCAGATCATGACTTATAACCCGCTTATGATTATCCAGTCAATATTTTGATATTTCAAAATAATTAATAAAATAAAATAATTCTAAATAAACATCATTTATTCTAAACGATAAATTAATGTCCTATTAAAAGTAAGCCTTTTCCATACTATTTCTGTTTATAAACAGATATAAATATTGTTGCTGTTTGTGCGTTACACACTTTACAAGCACTGCATTTTACGTCAGAGTAACATTCGTATCTATAGTATAGGAAGTAATATTTTTAACCAAAAGACGAGAATTTAAATAAAATTAAAACTGTTAATAGCTTATAATAATAATATTCTTACTATTAATTAACAGTTCTTAATTCATTCAAATTCTTGTTTATTTATTAAAAATATATGCCGAAATAATTACTTTTACTCAACTATAATTAAAAGTACGTACAGTCCACAGCACGTCAGATTATACAAAAATATACTTTAATATTTATATCGTTGGTAGAGGTAGTGCGTTTGAGCTACGATTGCCGATATTAAGTGACGTTCGTAATGGCCAGTAATGGGATGGGTGAAATTTTTTCTAATTGGTTGAGTGTGGTGGAATAGGATAGACGTTGCGAGATGAGGCGAGGTGGAGCGGGGAGGGACGAATTTTGCTCTGTTTTCTTCTCTCGTCGCTCACCTATGTCGAATTGCATGAAAAGCCTATAAAAAAGTTTTAAAAGATTATTGTTTACAATAAAAGCCGCAATAGTTAAAAAACTGAACCATAATATGAAAAGTCTCACCTTATTGAAATGTTATTGCCGCCCTATTAGAAAGTGACAAATAGCCTCTGTATTTGACATCTCGTTCGGCGCGCTTTTTAGAAAAACGAAAAGTCCATGACTAATACAAGACTATTACACATAAAGAGATAAGGTTCCGTAAAATTATCAATATATCGACTATCACGTTTAATACCTATATATCGGTTACAGACTATATCGATATATTGCTTCTCATAGCTATATATTAGCGATATTACTGATATATTTTTTGGATCTTCAAAATTCTTCTATTCAAAAATCTTCTATTTTATCAAATTTGCATTCACAATGCTATACTGAAAAATATTTTTAATGAAAAATCCATCATGTTCCTGGCGCTCTGAGATGGGACTCACTATGACAATATAAATACACAATAGGAAAATTCGTTATTGCTACTTTAAATAGATTGCGATTAAATTGGGAATAATACTTTATTTTGAACTTAAGTACAAATTATAAAAAAAAAAAAATACTACAAATTTCGAAGCAAAAAATTTTGGTTTACAATAATATCACGTTTTATTAAAGTAATATCACATGTGAAGATGCCGTTGGATGTTAAAATTTGGACAACTGATACTTACTCTTAGGATTTCATTTGATATTAGGTTTCGATGTTGGTTTTTTCGATATCGATATTTTGGGTATCGTTATATCAATTCGAATCGGTTTTTCGATATATCATATATCTCTATACTTTTCTCTTTGGCATAGAGAAAATTTATGATTGGTCGTTAGAATTTTTATTTATTTACATTTACGAGTATTGTAGAAACAAATTTAGGAAATAGAAACTAAAGTTTATTTTTTTTAGTATTTATAAATTATGCCGCGTTAACATGGAAAAACCTGATCTTACTGATAATGCAGTAACATCTACCGAAAATATTAACAAAAACAAATTAAAAACAAGAGGGAAAAAACGTAAAAGGTTAAAGAAAAGTGTTAATTTCTTCGGAACAATTTCGGTTTATTTGTACGATAACACTTCAGGTTTCGAACTATTAAATAAACATTAAGTTTTAATAATGTTTTAGGAAAGACAGTGACACTAGTTTGGAAACCGAAGATGCATTACCAGAAAATGCTTTGGAAGTGGAAAATAATGTTATTGCATCAGCAACAAAGAATAATCTTGATGATGTTAGTGTTAAAAAAATATTGAAGGTAAGAAATCTGTAAACAGCGAATTAGTGCAGTGGAGAAACAATTAACCCAACTAGCTTTTACATAGACATGGATAAATTAAGATTTTAAAATTAAATTTATGAAGAAAAGCACTTTTTATTTATGGTTATCTTTCTAGAAAATTATATTGTTAGAATTCCTATATCCCAGGTTCAAATTATATTTATCAACAAATCACAACAAAGGATGACTGTTCCTATGAGGCTTTTCGGACCCTAAAAATATATAAATCTCGGGATGATGAATCTATTAAGTTTTCGTATTTGAATATTTCAAAACATGTATTTCCTAGTATACTTGTTTGTTATTTAAAAGCGCAGTTTGCAAATTTTGTATTTTATGCCAAAATTCATTGGTTTTCGAAGATTTTACTAAATATTTTACTATATATCTCTCCTCATGGTGCAACACTTTCATCAATATATATGTTTTGTGTCTCAATGTTTTATGATAGATTTCAATTAGAAATGCGTTATTGTAATCAGAGTCGTAATAAATGGATGTACTTTTGTAGTGGCTAATATTGTATGCCTATATAGGTCACTAACTAATAAGCAATTGGTTGCTATATGCAAAGCCATAATAAACAGATTATATATGTATATTTTAAATCAAACTGCTATTAAATTTATATCCTAAAGTTTTTTGTTTTTTTTACAGAAAGTAGTAACCAATGACCATGTGTTGGCATTTGTCAAGTTACGTGAGGAAGAAGAAATATCTCGAACGGATCCAAGTGGTATCAGACCTAAACTTACACGGGCTAAAGTCAAGTAAGTCATTAACATTACTATGGTAACATTTCTATTAAAGTTGCTATTAAATAAATTATTTGAATAAAAAAAATTATACAACATAGTGAAAGTCTTATTTGTTTGTTTGTATTGGATAGGTTTCTATTGAACCGATTTATGAAAGTCTCTTATCTATGGAAAGCTACTTAATACACTTTGGACATAGGCTATAAATTATAGCATGTGAAGAAGTAGAAATGGCTAGTTTGATAGAAATTGGTTCACAATTCAAGAAGAAATTGATTAACATACCTACTTTCATAAAAAAGATACATACTTCTTGAACATAGAAATTCACCTTTCGGATTTCAAATGAATTCCAAATACACAATCTTTTGTTTTTAGCTGGAAAAGTCCATGATTTACCATATCAACTAAATATTGATTCGATTTCAATAAAATTTAAATGAAACAACTTCGGTGTAAACAACATTAAGCTATCTAATAAAATTAAAGAATTTTGAAAATCGGTCAACATATACTTCAATTACATATGTAAATCCGTTTAGTAGTTCTAGAGAAATGGGGCTATAAAAAATATAACATACATAAAAGATATATGCGAAAATCCTTCCTCTACAGAGATTGATCAATCATAACAACGTTTTCTTTGTTTTTCTCTCAAAAAATGATCCACGCAGGATGTCGGCTTCGGTCGTAAAAACCAGTTTCGATAGGACACTTTATAAAATATATAAAGCGTTATATTTATCTATTTTAATTAGAAGTCCACCTAGGCCAGAGCCTAGGGTGCAGACACCCAGCTCAGGAGGAGGTCATGCCCCTAATGACACCCTCCTGAATCCGCCCTTGACCATACCGAAGTTGCTTAAGCTCTGCCTCATAGACATTATGAATAAAATATTATTTATACAGAGAGCTCAAGAAAGTATCACCAAATACAGCACCATGGAATCTCGAGAACCTCGAGCTAACCCCTATCAAGCACATACCTGTTAAGACAAGACCTGAGGTAAAAGCATTGATTGCACAAGAATTACCAGAAGATGAGGATGATGAAGAATATGAACCAACACATGAGGATGTTCTTGTAAGTATATATGGCATTTTAATCGGAAGTCATCATATTAAAACTAAATAAACTAATAATTATAATAAAACTTATTAATATTGGACTACAGACAGGGCCGATTATTTTAAGGAATTATTAAGCTTTTAAATAATATATATCCTCCAATGTATTTATACACCCTTGATCGCTGACATGTATGGGAATGCATGCGCGTGTGCGTGCATTAGGTTATCTTGCATTAATTAAAAAAATCGTTTCTTAGTAATTTGAACTTAAAAGCTTGTACAAGTACAACGGTACTAATTGTTTTAGTGTATGCTTTTATTTTGAGTATAAGATATCTATAATTGACTACTTGAATGTTTTGGGAAAGAAATTATGACCATATTAATACACTTCCAGATTAATGATTATTTTTCTCCAAAATTGTTATGATATAAAGAAAAAAGATATATGTATTTATTTATTTAAATTATCGTGCGCCATGCCCGCGTTTCGGTTCTTGTAATCCACAGAAAATAAATTGCAAGTGCATTTTGTAAAAATAAATTTAAATTTATTTTTAAACAAGAAATACTTCTAAATTCTTCATAAAATCGACCAGCAACAGCGTTCACCGTGATATTTATAGCCGAACTTGCTTATAAATATACTATGATTTCAAAGTGCGTCGTATTCTGATATAAATTATTTTGAGTTTTCAACTCTTGATTTTGATTGACTACGTCACCAGAAAGTATGTTATATTTACAATCTTAAATTGTAATATTTATTGTTGGAAATTGTTTTCATGACAGAGCGATGATGACCAAGGCACTGAGTCATGCAGCGACATTGACTCTCAACCTCGGACCCCAGCGACCCCCAGGAGTTTAAGTATAACCAGCCCGAAAGTTGTAAGAGATGGTCCCTTCAAAGTACCACAAGTAAATATTGAATATATGTAATTAAAAACATCTTTTATAAATTTAAAAATCATATTTGAACCTGGTTTCTAATATTTCCATGCACACCACTGATTATATAAGACTATTTTTAAACAGCTTAAAATAATCTTGTGTATTTTTGAAAAATGACGTTTTGGATCCTTTTCAGAGGTTCCGTGTTTATTTCGATTGAGATATTGGATGTCTTATAGACTACCGAACTAAAATTTAATAATTTTTTATCTGCAAAATTAGAAATGGACGGGAAAAGAACAACTTTTTCAACAAATAAAAGTGTACCATATACTTACTAGTATTATAATGAAGAAAATTTTGATAATTTGTGAGTTAATTCCATTCTTTCACCTACAGGAAGCGACATCAGACAGTATATAGGCTGCAATTTAGACCCGCGTTGTTATGAGAATTAGCTATTAGCATAGGCTAACTTTGACAGAATTGAACGGTTTCACTTTATAATCCAAAATTTTGTGTTTGTCCGTTCGTTCAGGAGATATCAACGCCTACTCGTCGTAAATTAATTTTGGAAGAAGAGGAAGCGACAATTGCTCTACGAACTAGATCAAAGTTATCTCTATCTGAAACGCCAATTGAACACATAGAGAGTTCATTTGTACCACCTGATGACTTGCCAGTACCACCAGTGGATGATCATCTGTGGAATGAGTTTTTGAACGAATGCCTCAACCCGGCGTCCGTGTCTAGGAATGAAGATGACGACGAAGCAGATCCTGAGTACAACGTCGCTGCTGATCCTGACGCACGTGAGTTATGATAGCCCTTAGATTAAAACAATACAGCTGAAGTAATAAGATTTAATCTTGCGCATGGACCGCTTAAATCAAGTACCCGTCGCCTAATTTCATTCAGTACGAGTTGCTCTGTCGTAACGGAGCGCCAAGATTTTGAGCCGCTCCGTATGTTTATTCATAAATAAATAATTTGTTTTGTTTAAAAAGAAAACTTCTCAGTCGAAAAACTTTAAATACGACCCCCTCGGGCCATTAATCTGTCGAATAAAAAAAATTTGTATATCCGTGAATTCGCGGAAAAATCGGTGATCATATTATAAAAAAAGAAAATACGTCGCCGTCGAATATATAACTTCATTCTTTTCGATTTTTAAGTTTGTTAAAAATATTAGTTTTGTTCGCCATTTTGCGGATCTAGATAGAACTACACTCGGCTCGAAGTACACTACGACCCACGTCAGCACACTTTTCTCGCTCACGCTTAAGTCAAAACAAATTATTCTGTCTCTATCTTTCAATATCTTACAACGCTATATCTGCCCGTTTACAGTTGACTATTACAAAGACATACCTTATGATCCGCTGTTTTGTTTTAATCTAAGACTAAGCTCCCTATTATATTGAGATATTCGCAATATATATTTGCTACTAGTTTCATGGGTACAGTCAACAGCATGTTTGTAAAAACAAAACTGTCAAATTTCTCCCCTCGATTTTAGACCCCCATAAATTGAAGGTAGAAGCTATAATTCATTGCAGACATTTGACATATTATGCTAACCCTACGTACAGATGTGTATAAACTATAATACCAAAAATATAATATTCATTACACTTCAAATAATTTGCATTTGAAGTGTAATGAATATTAACTGGAACATTATTACAGACGATGAAGATGAAGCTTTAGAAAACACCATTATAAAGATATCAAAGAAAGAACTTAACGATTTGGTGACAGAGTTGTTTAATATAATGCCAGAAGAGACAGTAGATGATGAACTGTCAAACATAGGCAACGGTATTCTTTCTGACCACAGTCAAAATGTGGTGAGTTTTTTATCTATATTTAATAATATAAGGCTGAAGAATTTGTTTGTTTGAACGCGCTAATCTCAGAAACTACTGGTTCGAATTGAAAAATCTTTTTGTGTTGAATAGACCATTTATCATGCTGCCACTATTAGGAGCGAAGAAATAATGGAAAATGTGGAAAAAACGTGGAAAATTATTCATCCTTGAGAACGGAAGCCGCGTGCGCTGCGAAAACTGTTCAAGATACCAAAAATATATGTATAAAAAACTATGCTATGATAACAGCAATCATTGTTTACTATTCAATTTGTAATTATATCTGTGTCTTGCTATGAATCGATACCCAAATAAACAGTCCGCCGCTGGCGGAAAGCTAGTTTATTTATATGTAAAAGTTCAAAAACTAAAACTGAGACCACAGCTAAATCACTCTATAAAAAGTTTGAAAAAAGAAATTTTATGAGACACATTTTTCTTTTGGTATAGCCTAATTATATAATAATTTATATGTTGACGGTTCCCAGATGAATAACGGATGGGATGGTAAACAAGAACCGCTTTCAGATGAAGAGCGTCCACTGAAAATTTGCGAGAACTTGTCAGTGGAGAGAAGGAATAGTTTCAATAGTATCTCTATCGGTAAATCTGAGCCGATGGACGAGGATCCGTTGGCTTGTACCGAGGGCACTGGAGAAATGGAACAACCCGATAATAATATGCAAGAGTCTAATGAAAATGAAGCGTTGAAGCAAAACCACCAGGTTATAATTCGGTGAGTAACTGACCAAGTTTTTCTATATTGTAAGGAGGAGTGTTTGACTATTTGTTTATTTGCATCGAATAGGTTCCAAAACTAGTGGACTTGTTTTTAAAATTACCCTGTTTTTAATTTAAAATTCTTGCATTTACAGGAAGCTACATAATATACGGTTTACATAGGCTATAATTTACGCGGGGGAACGGCTAGTAATGTTTAAGTTAAAATATAAAATCTTTTTGAAAAACAAGCTTTCCAAATTGGTAGGGTTGATCAAAAATATGTTATCTTCCATTGTGTTGTGGCAGCCATTTGGATTAACAATTATTATATTAAATATGCGTAATAGTATTTGTCATCAGAACTAAAGGTGTTTTGTCTTAAGCTACCGAATACATGACACACGCTAACATGGCAAGTTAAAAAGCTTGTAAAAATCGGTATTTGGTAATTGTCACGAAAATGCATCGAGCTCTAGTTGAATAAGTACGCCATGCAGAGTTTAAACAACATCCACAAGGGCCTGCCATAGGAAAAGTTACCGATTTTTTTTAAGCTAAGCCGTTGGTACCGCATGCGTCCGCAGCCGCTAAAATCCACGAATCCGTACTAGGCCGCAATGTGGGTTATGGCCAGCTCTCGCTATTTGTTTAAGTTTCATATATAAGAAAGGCATTTGGGTACATTAGGCCGACGATGATGATGTAATTCCAAATATCAACAATGATTATAATTATGTTTTGGGACCGTCAGGTAAACACGTTAGGCTCGAAAAGGGGTTTGTCAAAAATCATGGAATATCATAAGGCCCCCCCATGTGACATTCCGTGATTTTTGGTGTCATAAAATATCACTTGTATTTATTTTATCGTTAAACACGCTATTACGAAACCAAAAAGCGTCATAATGTTATTTATTTCTTCGTCAAACTCGTACAAAATCAAATTTGGGTGTTGTGTAAATTTGATTAGTCGGAAATAAGATTCTTAATAGTTATTAAAAAATACACGTGATTTGTAGTCTTAAACCTCAACATGTATGGCCAAGGAGAGGGTAAAAAAATAGCAAATAAACATCACGTGATTAATGGACGGCCCCTTTCTTTTATTTAGCCCGCTTAATAACGTGGTGCGAATAGCCGTGGAAGAGCAAGTGATGTGTGTCCAGCCCCCTCCCGCTGCTGCTCAGGTTCCCCCTCCGCTCCTCCTCCAGATACAGTCAGCACCCAACCCGATCACTGTCACGCTACAGAACGAGAAGGTGGTAAGTCAAATGAATAACAAATCCAACGGCGGATTAAGTGGTGGATTAAAATAATAACGCTGCTCTAGGCAAGTACTTCATCGACGCCCCTCTCTTAACACGAAAAAAAGTATCGATATTTTTTTTTTCATCTTTCCCTTTGCTTCACTATTAGGTTCCCTTTTCAATTTAAGTTATTTTTGACATAGGAAACATTCCAATATAATTAAAGTAAACACTATAAATGAGTGAAATCCCCTTCAGGTACCTTGGGTCATTAATACAAAACGATGGCGATATTGACTGTGACGTGAGGAATAGAATAAATGCGGGATGGATGAAAAGGCAAGAGGTCTCAGGACGATATGCGATCCACGAATGCCCCTTAAACTTAATGGGAAAATCTATAAAACAATCGTAAGACCTGTCGTACTGTATGGTTCTGAATGTTGGGACATTCAGAACCAGAATCAGAACCTACAAAAGGGTCGGATGAAAGGCGAGTACATGTGGCAAAGATGCGAATGTTAAGATGGATGTGTGGAGTGACGCGAATGGACAAGATTAGAAATGAGTATGTAAGAGGAAGCCTGAAAGTTGCACCTGCGACGGAGAAAATGAGGAGTAATCGACTAGCCTGGTATGGGCATGTTATGAGAAGGGACGAAAGTCATGTTACGAAAATAGTGATGGGTATGCTTGTGGATGGTTATGTTAGTAGAGGCAGACCGAAGAAAAGATGGATCGACTGTGTGAAAGAGGATATGAAGAAGAAAGGTGTGGATGTGGAGCTGATGTTTGACGGAGAAGAATGGAAGAAGAAAACATGTTGTGCCGACCCCACGTAACGTGGGATAAAAGGCAGGAGGATGGATGAGTGAAATCCCCCCCTAAACTCATTACTTCCAGTATAATGCGTGCCAAACAAGCATAGAATCGAGTTAGACTTAGCTATCATTTAAGTACAGACAGCAAATAAAGTTCGCTAAATAATTTTTGGATTCGTTGAAATATATTATGAAGTTTTATATTTAATATTTATAAGTATACTAAATTGGTCTCTTGTTATTTATTTATTACTAAATATGAATTTCGACTATTTTTGTGGCAACGTTAAGGTTGGTCTCGTATCGCTATTCAAATACAATTGCCGTAGTCAGTTATATAATTCGACGATAATGCGTTGATCTATAAAAAAAATATTTTCCTTACTTTTTTTCACACTACATCCTGAAGCAATGTAAACAAAGATGGTTATTTAACAGAACTATTATTCTTTGGCTCACATAGTATCTCTCGATTCTCTAAAATCTCTCGAGTCTCTTGATAATTCTTAAGAAACCAAAACGTTCAAAGTATAGTAAGATTATAAGTATAAAAGTAAACAATGTATATATATATATTTTATATTTAATATTTTATATTTCCAGATCTTGCCGGAACAAGTACTTATTTTGCAACAGCATTTGAGACAACATATACAGATCGCCACGTCGAACTTCTTGCAGCTCTTCATTAATCCACTTCACTGGGCTAAAGCGCCCACTTACAAAGAGTATTTGGTAATTTTTTTGAATTCCTATTTTCCTTAACTATCCGTAAAGAGGGCCTGACTCCCTGAAGTGGGGGCGTAAAAGCGCTGATCATGATTATATTTATATAGAATAAAATTTATATAGAAAAGAATTGCGAAATGCTAATATTTCTTTTATAATATTGCTTAAAAATATTAAATTTATAATAAAAATACACATTACTATGCGTTTGACATTGTTGCTTACTGAATTTCCAGAAATTATGAAGAAGTAAAATCGTTAATAATAAAACCCTAATAATGTTCAAATTTTATGATCGAATTTCCACAATTGGCTACTTGACTGTTTTGGAGAAAGTACTTTAAAAACTTTCATATGATCATTAAGCCTAATTAAGATTTTTTTTCCCCCAAACAGTGTTAAATAATAAAGGAAAAACATATCTTTATACATAACTTCACTGTCCCGCCAAAACTACCAGTTACATGGCATTTCGAGTCGTGACGTCACATTTCAATAAACATGTACAACAAAAACGTTGACGTTTATCGAAATGTGACGTCATACGATGTTCCGTTATGGCCGCCCGCTTTTCGGTTCTACAAGACTCGGCAGATTATAAATCACAAATTAATTTGGCAAAAATATTTTATTTTAGATACATTTATATAATTCAAAATTTATTTGTTTAACTGTCAAGTAGCCAATTGGACGACATTAGAAGGTATAAACAGATACTTGATGTTTTTTTTATTATTGTTATGGTATAGGAAACGTTATTGAAGATGGTGAATGAGAATCCGTCGTCCGTCGTAAACGTGTGTAATCTCCATCAGGCGGTGGAACTGGTCCATAAGTGGGAGGAGAGCGTCTCTAAAGACACGCCCGAGAATACTGCTATGGTCGAGTGAGTATTACATACCTAATAATATTATTAATACGAAAGTTTGTGAGGATAAATGTTTGTTACTCTTTGTGATATTGATGAAAGGAGAATGCCTTATTTTGTATGGGGATTTGTACCAACTTACGTCAACCCAAATTTACTCTCAACGAGTAAAGTTTTTATTTAACTTTTCAATACCATCAAGAATTTAAATACAACTGACCTCATTTTTGAGTTTATAATAATTAATAAAGAGAGTCCATATTTTTTATTGATATTTAATTACTGTGTATCATCATCTCATAGAAATGCGTTTTAGGCCTCACTTAAGAACTGAATTTGCACACTATAGATTAGATACTACACTTGCGTGATTGCACTCAATTGAACTTTTCTATTCATTTTTAACAAATAAGCAGGCACCCTAAGCGACGATCGGCGTATTCCAAGAAGAGTCACTATCTCAACACAGATATATCACTTCAGAGTAACTATCTGAATACGCCAAATTACAAAAGTAACTATTTAAATACCGTCAATAGTTTTGTCAAAAAATGACAATACCACTCAAATGTAACAAATAAATCGATAACCGACAAAAACGTCCAAACAGTAAAGTATGTATACGGGAATAAAGGGAGTAAACGTCGATATATTGACACTTGACTATTTCATATTTTGGTGTCCGTATAGTGTTTTTGTTTTCTTATAAAATACACAATGTATTTTTTCTTATAAAATAAAACTATTTAATACCATCGGTAGTAACTATTTTACACTATAATTATGCACTTGTGAACTAGACGCTAATTACGGAAGCAGACGAATTATTAATTATTTATTATCACTTTAATGCGGTTCAAAATATGGCTTAAAAACCAGTGGTAAATACATATAAATATAACATAATTTGTAGGTAATAGTGTATCTGTGACGCAATATGGTACGGATAAATCTCCTCTGATATTGTAATTATCATTTTTTATCGCACTAATACGTTCCTTAGGAGGGCGCTTGTGGAAAGAGTACCTTACAAATATAAATTGCAATTGCCGAAAACCGCATTAAAATACATTGTGTAGTTAATAAGATCTCAGCGTGCAGACAGTGGAAAGCAACTTTGTTTTGTACTATGTATAGATATTACAAAATTGATGCTTTACAGAATCCATCTTATTGTAGCACTACTCTTCAAAGAGTTATGGTATTTTTAATACAGTAATCCATAGTTAAATAGCTGTAATTTAATAAATGTTTATCATTATTCATTTCGAAATGTCCACCTTATCTTCTCTGTAATAAGGGTGATTATCATTCACAGTTCTTTAACATCACTATACAATGCTGTAGCCTAAAAAAAATCTTATGCTCACTTTGCTTGATCACAAAACCTTTTCTTTTCAGATTTATTCAAAAGGAAGCTGAAAGATGGTAAGTGAAATGGAAACTGACAATGTGACAGTTTTCCGTCTTCTAAACCGTTACCGTCTTATCATAAAACGAGGACTTACTTTAGTACCAGTACCTAGGCGTCGCTACCAAACATAAAAAATGCAAAAAGCGGTAATTTTTAGGTTTGGAGATTGATATACTGGTTCCTCGTGTTGGGTTGGCGCACCCACCCTACAGATACCGCTAGATAGTTTTTTTTTATGAATGCACCTGGTTCGGCATCTTTTGACAAATCAACTTCTTATTCATATATTTGCTGTTAGCTTCAATTTGGCCGTCGACGACCATTACTTAATGATATATGACATAGGCTCATATGATATAGAACATCAACCGGTACTGTCTACAAAAAAAAATCAATAATTGTATCTTTACTAGGCTTAACATTCTAATTTAACGATATGTTGATATTCTTTACGTAAAGATTATAAAATTTAACAAAACGTCTATAAATCTAATGATTCATTAAATAAACAAGTAATAATATAAACTGGTACGAACATACGTATACGATGTATTTGCTAGCGGTACTCATACAGAGAGCGTGGACGGGCGGTGCTGTGAAAGGTTGGTAGTAGCCAACTCGAACCGAACGGCCAATACTGCTGATTAGATTGTAGAATAGTATGCAAATGTTGTGAACCTCTGAAAGTTGCTTATATTTCTTATCTCGTTAACTTGCTTTATTTACACCACAGATAATATTTGTGACAATTCTATAATCGTTTTCTTAAATCGATATAAATGAATTTTATAATCGCAATTTTATAATTAACATAAATATGCCACAGGCGCCGCAATACGGCCTATAACAAACTATACGTGGGCGAATTTCACGAGACCTTCAACAAAGTAGTGGCGAACAGTCCCGTGTTCCTGTACCCGTATTTGTTGCCGCCGATGCCGTACGCTGCAGACTCTAAAAGGAGATTCAGCTATCTACGCTCCGAAGACGAGTAAGTATATGACATTGCGTCTGTTAAATTATGCCACTGAAGTGTCTATGTGTTTTTACTATTATAATGAAGATTTATTTCATTCATAGTCTATTTTCAATTTTACTACTCTGTAAAGATGTCAAATAAAAGTCGAGTATAACATTATATATGTGATTTGGCATTATAGTGTTTCGTTGTATAGGAACAGATGGTGTACTTTTTAGTCATTCACCATTACTTACTAACCAGCATTAAACGTTTCCTCAGCTGTCCTACAGGTAGACTAGAAAACGCATCTTTTGTAACATGCCATTAATCGGTCAAGTGTCCATTGTATTTCATTTTAGGTTGATAGCCATAGGTCTGGACCAGTTCTGGAAATATGTGGACAGCAATCCGGATATATTTCGCCGTCCCCCTCGCTCTCACCCGCGCCACCGCTGGGGTTTAGTGGCCACCGCTGAACTAGTGGTCCGGTACATGTTCCCGTGGCTATCGCCGCGTACGCTAGTTCAACACGTGATGGTTGCAAGACGACAGGCGGACAAAGACAACCCTATTTATGTGAGTGAGAAGGTTACAACATAGCGTTAAATGTCTAGGGATTCTCAAAGTTTGGGATCGAAATCTGTCTCCAGGGGTACTCCAGACATTAATGACAAATTGGTTTTGGGGGTCGACAAGTTTTTATTTGGAACTTTTGAAATACTTTACAAGAACTATTAATATTTAGTAGGGAGTATTATTATTGTACTTTTAAAAAACTAAACAAATCGATTAAGTGGTTAGAGAGTAGACAAATCGATAAGGTGCCAGGGACTAAATGGATATTTTAAGCATTTTCTATTAAGAATAATTTATGATAGATTTTTTTAAATACTGGTGTCGCGTATTTGAGAGTATTTTTTCACCATATTTGGTGTATTTTACATCATGTCTAGCTATTACATTATATCCAAATATAATGTAATACCTAGATGTATTTTTACGTTTATATACCTACTTCTTAAAATATCTAGATAATAGAACTCGCTTCTTATTCAGATATATAGTTCGTGATATTGCAAAGTCATATCTAAAAGTTTTAATATAATCCACACTATGTCAATGAATATGAATATTTTTCTCTCTATACAAATTCCGGCCATGTCACTTGAGAAAAATTTCTTATCCACATTATTCTTTCATGACCAATAATGATACGAGTACCAAAAATCAATCTGCCTACACCTATCGTTGATCATCACAGTTTTTTGTATAACAATTAAAGTGAGGGCTCTATTTAACCTTATCACTCCTGTGCTGCGCTTACAGTCTATTAGATTTTGATCATCAAAAGGCCATAGTAATCAATTTAATAAATATAATTAAATTTATTTAAACTAATCCATGTTACTCAGTAAAAAGTGCATTTTTGTTACAGAAATACTTCAATACCAATGAAATAACACCTGTAAAACATAAACTGTTACCATACAATCCTAAGTTGACTTTGTATGAACAGCCCGAAAACGAAATGCCAAGGTGTTGGCTCCGATACCTATCCAAGACAAGCAAACGGTTCAAGGTACCATCAATCTTTTGCTTAAGAATAACTTAACGTTACGATTGTCCTTATATTTGTTTGTCAGAGTTCCATAATAAACGTTCTTAACATTTTTAATGACATAGTAAACGCAAATCTGACATAAATAATAGAAAACGCAAATCTGACATAAATAATATCACTCCATTATTACTTGCCTACCAAATAATTAGACTTATTTTTTTTTTGTGATAGACAGTAATGAAATAACTTAATAATAATAAGATAACATACTAACAAAAGAATACTTGATATATTTGTGTTACCTATCTGTAACTAATAAAATATTTAATAAATATTATTATCATATTTTGAATGCAAAATTAATGAAATGTGGTAAACTAACATTTATTTATCCATAGGTCCACTTGCGACGTCGCCAACATGTATTGGGGCAAACACCGACGGGGGTAGAAATAAGTATGGGTGCATTAGCGATTCCACTACCCAAAGAGCCCTTGCCCATAGACTTCACCAAAGAGATCAGAACGTGTCGAACCAAAAAAACAACGAACGAACCAGAAAAACCGGTGTTAATGGACAAATTCGATGTGGACATACAGAAAAAAGATACACAACCTCCCCTTAACTTCTTTCAACTAGTTCAAACCAATAATGGACCCGCTCTAGTGCCTCTAGTCATCCAGTCTGATCCTAACACTTCAAATATCACTCTAGTAGCGCGACCCAATACGAGCGTAGACAATTTGAATGTGCCGAAAACAATAGAACAAACTAACACAGTGAATTGTAATAACGCACCTATTACTAGTGCTATAGAGACTAATATCATTAAACAAGTACCAGAAAAAAGTACCAAAAACATCAAGGCTGCTAATGTTGAGCATCACTGCTGTTGCTGTATTATACTTAAACGGATAACCAAAACCAAACAAACTGTGATAACGGACTTTTTTAGGAATAAGGACAATGTGAGTGTTAATAAAACTAAGTGTCAGTGTAATGAAAGTAGATATCCTACAGTCACGAAAAAGTTAAAACTTTTAATTTTAAGATATAAATCTAAATATAAGTGTATTTATGAAGAGATTCAAAGAAGACTTGGTGTTAAAAAGACACGAAATGAAGATGAAATGGGTTGTTTAGAAGGGACAGCCGATTCATGTAGTGGGGAAGATCTGGGTGAGTAATATGTGCTTTTAGAGTAACTAACTTGACCAGACGTCACTTATTTTAGTTGTATATCCCGGAGTCTTCGAAGATGAGTCTGGGACGCGAAAATGTTCTATTTTCGAAATGGTGTGAAAATTTTTGAATTAAGCGAGGAAGAGGGAAAGACTGCAAGACTGCATTATCATACATAGTCATCAGCTATTCGTACTATGGACAGCCCTTGGGAAACTAGCATAACTTTTGCATTGTAGACCGAATGCGCTAACCACTATGTCACCCAACTCCCCAAAAGTTGCATACTTTAATGGAAAAAGTCCTTTGTACAATTGGCTACTTGACAGTTATAACAATATATTATGACATGTCTGGGAAACGGTAACTTTATGTAAACAATAACTTTTTTTTAAATAAATTGCAAGTATATTTAATTTTTGCAAAATAACAAGTAACCTGCGATTTAAATCTGTGGATTAAAAGAACCGAAACGCTGTCGGTCACGATAGAGCATCGTATGACGTCACATTTCAATAAACTAAACGTCGACTTTTTCAATGTTAAGTTTGACGTCACGGGACGTTACTGTTAGTTTTCGCGGGACAATTCAAATTAATGTATTAACATACTTTTTATTCTATAACACTTTTTGGAGAAAAATATATGTTATTGTAGTTTTAAAATGCTTTTCTCAACCAACCGATTCTTTAAAAATCCATTTATTTCTTATTTTTAATATCCTCGCAGCTGACGTGTCTGCGTTCCAGCAGAAGCTAACGATACGCGGCCAAATAGCGAAGAATATTCAGATAAAAAGTCGCATCAACACACTGTTCTCAAGGTTCGATGTTGACGCCGACGATCCGATCAAGCTCGCTCTTGAGCTAGACCAAACGTTCAACATTGAAATGGTGGACGTTTTCAAGGAGTTCTGCGGATTTTTGAATCCCGAACAAGCGGATAAAATTAACAGATTCCGCGATTACTTCATACATAATTGTGTTCAGGGTCTGATGGAGAAGATCGAAGTAAGTATTGTGAAGTGAGTAGAACGTTTTTCTTTTTTTTTTCAAAACTGTGTGTTATTTTTAGTTAGGGTTTACTTAAATTTAAGCAATTGTGACTTTTTAGTTCATAATTAGATTTTAATTAGTTAAATACTGTTATGGTTTATAAGTGCTCATATGGATGTTCACCAGTGAATTTACTGTTTCTGTTTAATCTCAATCTTTTGTCTAACCGATTTTAAGCAAAACATGAATACCTACCGATAAACAGGGAAGTAATAATAAATAATTACCTAAAACTATTTATTAATATTACGGACAAACAGGACCGGACAGCGGAGTCTCAGTATAGAGTCCAAGGTAACGACAAAATTTATCAAACACAGTAATTTTCATTCCTTTACACCCAACAAAATAACAAACTTCAAAAGAAATTAATGAATTAATTTTCATAAAACATAAGAAACGGAAAGAAGATGATTATGTCTTATTTAGTAATTTTTCGTAAACTCGTTTTACTTTTATTACATCATCACCAGCCCTTTTACGTCCCCACTGCAGGGGCTCAGGCCTTCCTTATGGATAGTTAAGGAGGATGGGCCATGACCCTCCACGCGGGCCCAATCCGGATTGGAGGGTATTAACGAATGCAAATGCAGCCGGGACCAACGGCTTAACGTGCCTTCTGAAGCACGGAGTAGCTCGAGATAATAATTTTTTGGTCACCCATCCCGTGACCGACCCTTGTGAAAGTTGCTTAACGACAACGATCGCGGGCCGCGGCACTTATTCACTACGTCACCGAGCTACTCACTTTTACTTTAATTACATCAGAAATAAAATCGGAACGCTTATTATAGACCATTATTTCCCAAATTGTGGGTCGCGAACAAATATTGATTAGGCCCTGATAGACGATCCGCCACTTTATAACACATGTATGTTTTTATTACAATTATAACAAACCAGCTATTTTTACGCGACTTCGCTAACGTAAATTATTTTTCCTCTTTATAATATTAGTATAGATGAGACAGCATTAGCTAATTCCACATCTTGCTACTAGAGAATCTTAACATTACAAATAATAATGCCCTCTTTGTTTCTAAGAAAGCTAAGGCATTCCTAAGATTGGATAAATAAGTCGGAACCCAATCAACTTTCAACAAAACTGTCACAGACAGCGACGTCAAGTTTGATCTTCAAACTAGTTCACTAGTTTTAGGGTTCCGTATCTCGAAAGGAAACAACGGAACTCTTATAGGTTCACAATGTTGTCCGTCTGGCAATACCCTTTTTCTCAAGAATGTGTGAAGGTATCAAGCTGAAAATTATATCAAATACTCAGGTCTACTGCCCTTTGGGAGTTGTGAAAAAAGTCAACGCATTCAAAAGATACAACTGTTAATGCCGCAAATTTCCGCAAGTTTTCGAAACCAACAAGAGAATCAATACCTACAGGAACTTTCCGTGAACTCAGAATCTTAAAATTTGATACGAAGCAACGTCGTATAGCATAGATGAAGGAAAATTGCGAAAACCGTTAATTTTTGGTTACATCATATAATAAAAATATTTTTAATAATTTGGTTTGTACGGTGAGCGAGTCCGATCCGCACTTGACCGGGTTTTTTTTTTCTATCTTTTATTTAACTTCAGCTTTCTCGATGTTTGCCTTTCTAGAATCAAATCTTGCAAACTAAATATCATCCACTCTTAGTTCTGATAACAATACAATTATATTAATCGGTATTATTATTAATCCAAAATGGCCGCTGTAACAAAAACATATTTCTGAACATCCAAACCACCCACCCAGTATGGGTATCAGATAAAAGGGCTTAACTTGTAGAATACAACACACCAAATAAAAGCTTGTTTTTAACACTCGCTCATTATGTACAATCACTAGGAGCAGGTGAAGGACAAAATAACGAAGGAATCGCTTCTAAGGCAGATCAGTGCGTTTTTCTCATCGAACCAATGGACGCCGTGTTCGATGTGTAGCGCGCTGCTTATTTTACAGCGCGCTCATCCTGAACTAGCGCGCTACACGTTCGCGCTGTTCCCGCACGCGAGCCGTAAACAGTGAGTAGAATCCCAGCAAGTTACTAATGCGATTGGCGCCATTTTGGTGACCTAATTGCGTTCAGCAATCGGTACAGAATATTATCATTCAAAATATATATTTAACTGAGGTCTAAATGGAACGAAACTATTCACTATTATTTTCACTATTGCCCCCCTTTTACCTTTAATTTATCAATGAATATATTGAATTGTCTGAATTAACAAAACAATATACTTATTCATTGACAAATTAAATAAAGACATCAAATTAGAACACTATCCGTATCCGTATCATCTCAATAAGGTTGAAAATACGGTAGCCCGTATTTTCGTTCACCAGATAGCGCGTGATTGAACTTAAATCATAATACATAAATAAACCATTTTTTTTAAATAACGAACTTGCCCAATAAACACTAACCTCACATATAGCTTCGTTTTAAAGCACTGACACTAATTAATTCATAAATCTCAAGTACCCAAAATAAGCACTAAGAAAATATGTTATTTGACATTTTGAAGATATCACGCTACACTAGCGCCTCTAGTGGCAAATTCTAACGTTTCAGCCCTCATTTCACCAAGTGTTAATGGTAACTCGTGCTTTTGTTTATAATTAACTGTGACAGTTTCCAAAAATTGCACAAACATTCCACAGATTAACATAGAAAACTAATCACACCGTAATATTACATCTTAAAGACACCGAAACAATATTATCGTCTATTATTTAAATAATTATTTATTAGAATAAATAAGTCAAATAATTATTTTAATAAATCTCCAGGAGCTGTATAATAGAACCAAAAAAGACAGATGTTACACAGCCAGCGCCATTACAAATCGAGCCCCTCGTTGCAAATCGCTCCAATAACATCACAAACGATAACCAGATGTTGGTAGACAACGAGTCAGACAATCGTACAAGGTGAGCAACCAACCTTAGCGTGAAAATAGTTCTTTTTGTTTGTCCGTCAGGTAGATTATTGAAGAATATTATATTGAGTGTGAATCGAATCTACCTCATAAACTTATTTGGGGCCATAAAATTATTACGTAAGACGTTTTAGTGATGGTTCGACCATGTCTTATTTTTATTACCATTGTTTTAACCCACAAAGTGAAATGAAACCAAACAAGAAAAAAGAAATGTATGGTTACCCCAATATGTCAAATTTCTTCAGTTAGTTTTGAACTCTACCTTCAAAACATAAAGGCTTAATATCTAATCGAGAAATATGTCAGATTTATATAATTATTGTATTTTATCAATATTTTATTTACGATACTTATACTGGTAAATATTCTATATATCTATATCTTCACTCTGTATCCCTCGCGGGGTAGACAGAGAGGACCGAACGCCACAAAGTACGGTTCTTACGTACATCTTTCGCCTTATCCACTTTCGTTACTTTCTTCATGCATACTTGCCAGTTTTTATGGCTTCTGACGGCACCTTCTAACAGCAGGTGATTGATTTGATCGTGAAAGGTGGCTTCTGTATCCATTTAATTTCGAGTTGTATTATTTTTAAATACTTTCCGGTGAATATTCTTAATATAAAATGCTTAGAAAATCCTAATTGAAACCCTTGTGTTATTATGAAAGACGGGAAATGTGACAATATCATAACACCAAGACAATATACAAAAGTTCATTTTCTAACATGCTCGCGAATCACTCGATCACAGGTTTTTATTGTTTACATCACTGTGAGTACGTACTTAAACTATACATTTATTCGTTTTTAAACTAAATTTTATTTAACAGTGGTCCAGAAGAAAATGGCGAAAATGGTCCCACTGATCAAAGTACAGACTCTTCCTCGGCGATTATCAAAACCGTAAGTAAAAGACGTATTTATTGTCAGCTGGGCGTAAAGATAAAAGATTGTCCCATTCTATTTGCTGGACACAACGACACAGGATGATGAATTGGTTACTTTAAAGTTATAATAATAAATTATGAAAACAATTACTATGAAGTATATGTTTTAAAATAAAATGAAAGTATATTTAATTTTTTTGCAAAATTATCATGGTGTTAATAATCTGTGAATTGCAAGAACATAAACGCGGCCATAATGCAGCGTCGTGTGACGTCATATTTCAATAAACTAAACGTCAACGTCTTGTAGCACAACCATTAAGATAATCATTTTTATTGAATGTTGACGTCGGAGCCCGAAATGGTACGCGACTGATTGATTTCGCGGAACAATTTAAATTAGTATATCAAATTGTGTTTTCTCAAAACAGTCACCTATTTAAATAAATAATCTATTTTATATTATTGTAATAGTTTTGCGGAAAAGCTCTCGACTAAAAAGTGATCACATATCTATTAATTACCGCTATAAAAAATATTATGAGAAGATTAAAAATAAATGTGAATTTTATGGTATTTGTGATTTTTTTATAGAGAAAATTTTATGATTTCACATTTGACTGTGACAAATTATTAAGTGATTTTAATATTGCCTTTGCCCTTTACATAATTTATATTTTTTATTACCTATCATAGTATAAGTAGTAAAAATAATCAGTCCATCAGAAAACAATGTAATAATAAAAATTAAGAGTAATAATAAGATATTAAAAAGAACCCTTATTCATTTAATTTAACATATTATGTAATAATGACAATTTGTCAATCTTAAAGGAGGTGCCAATGTCTGCTGAAGTTGATACGCCAGAAATTACGATAAGCAAGACCGAAATACAATACAGTGATTCAGATACTTCAACGATGATTGTTACAGAAGATGAGTTAGTGAAATCTGAACCATCAGAGTGGAAACGAGACGAAGATAAACTTATATTGGAAATGTTGAAACAACACCTGACGCCGGAAGAACGAAAAGAGAAAACCATATTAGAAATAATTGATGAGAAACAAATTGTCGAAATACTAAACCAGAGTCTATTAGACAAATCATATGATGACATCAAAGAAAGAATGTTGAATATATTGAAAATTCTTGTCTTAGAATCTTAATTATTGCTATGTATGAATAATTCATTGTAATTATAATGTGTCCTCTAAAGACCCCAAATATCTTATCTTGTCTCTTCGCTTTTGGGTGGAGTTGGATAGGCAGACAACTTTTTACAAGTCCAGAAAATAGGAGCTCCTGTTCCTATAATGTCCTCACTATACTACTGGGACGCAGGCTATCGCTATAGCTAGAAGCACATAAGTAGAAAAGATTAATGGGCGTTAATATTTTTTGACCACTCATTTGGTCCTCGCGATAATGACTAGTCTTCTGCAGTTGCAAATCGAACTCACCAATCATTGTGCCATGAGGCTCCTCAAATATACATGAATAAATTAATAAATGGATTTTAAACGCGAAAATTTCTTTTTTTATTTATCCTGTTTTGCCTATTCGATACATTGAAACGCACTAATGCTAGTTTCTATAGCTGGGTTTATATGCATCTGACAAGGGAGGCCACATGCTACCAGTGCACCGAGCGAACATCATTTCACTTCATATTTTGGGACATACCACGCACTACAGAGCAAATTCGCGCTGCGAAATTCAAAGCTAACGACATATCAAACGATTTTAGCGAAACTACTCGTTCACCTCCTTAGCTCTATAGTACACGATGTAAACCAAAGTACTTTGTATATTTGTGCAGGGTATTAAAATATGAAACGATTTCTTCTCGGACCTCGCTTGCGAAAAGACGTGTAACAACTCAGTTGTTAAATTGATTTTTTTATTGAAAAAGTAATATTCACAAATCGGATATCATTTATTGTACTAGGAGTGCATAAGTATAAGGAGTATTGTACGGAAGTCGGTGCATCTCGGATAGGTGGTGAGTCATATACTTGTTTACCACCACTGGACAATGAAACAATTGAAGGAGCCCCGTACGCTGGTGCAACTTTAAAGACGTCCCTCACCACCATTAGGAAACAAGCCCCGCCCCATAAACTGCATGCGCAGGGTCATCAATAGATCGATGACCAATTAGAAAGAGATAATTTCCTATATATTTCGTAATTACGCTCAGAGCCTCAATTACGCTAATATCCTTTGTGAGCTCAAACAACACAAGGGATATTTTTATTTTCAACTAGTTATTCTGAAAGTATCTATTGTTGAAAACCTGTTTAATAAGTGGGATCTTGCATTTACAAATTCAAATTGATGAGCCGTTCTCCACTACTTGATAGATCCACGTCCTGGTCGGATACTAATTTGATAAAACGTCGTCGTTAATATGGAGACGACTATGACTCATTATCAGCTTTTAAAACGGAAATGCGTGAATTGTTTGAGACATTTCAAAAGTTTGGTATATTATATAAATGTTTGGAAGATGGAAGACTGGATATTGGAAGACCAAGAAATAGAAAAATCTTTCGAATTTCTATCAGGACAACTAAAAGATATGCAAACAAAAATTGATGGTCTCGAAAACCAGCGCAAAGAAATTTCCTCACAAATTTTGCACATCGAGGAGAAATGTGAGTTTCTAGAGAAAAATAGTAAGAAAACTTATAAACAAATCAAATATGTACCGCGGCCTGAAATAGAAATGAAAGAAATGTTATACAAATATGTGTCCAACCATGCAAAAACACTGGACATTACACTACAACCTGGTGAATTGCGCGATGTATATCGTTTGCCAAACAAAAAGGAACCGAAGAAGCCAACAATTATCGCCGAGCTGGAGCTGTCTGATACCCTAATCAAAAATAAAATTATAAGTGCTGCAAGAAAGCTAAACAAATACCGAAAACTTAATGTCAACAGCCTCGGGATAGCTAATGATACTTCTACTATATACCTTTCAGAGTACCTAACTTCAAAGGCTCGACGCTTACATTTTCTCGTCCGAGAATTTGCAAAATCAAAAAACTTTCAGTTTTGTTGGACCTCTGGTGGAAATGTCTACCTCAAGAAAAAAGAAGAAAGCGAGTCTATTATGGTCAAAAATGTAGCACAGCTTAACACTATACAAGCACAAACTTTATAGATTTGGAAAGAACTATTTTCACTATCTTGCAAGAATTATGTGTACACTTAAATGTAGCTATATTTTATATAACTATTTCATTTACTATAATATCATATCTGCTTATAAGTATTCATATTGTTAATATATTATAGAATACGATTTTATCAGAAATAAATATGCTTTGATATCGCATAATAAAAATTTAATAAACAGAGTAAATATCAACCCTGTTAAATTTGTGCTAGTAAGAAATACGTATAAAAACAATTTATCAATACTTTTAACATATAGAAAAATACTTTATCATATTTATACTGAAATAGCAATACTATGTTTAAAACATTTTTTCCCTTGTGTCAGTTTAGGTTGCCAACAATTTAAAAACCATTATTCTTACTTAACTATTCAATCTTATTATATTTCGGCGTACAAGAATATATCTATCCAAATAAAAAAGACGTTTATATCGCTTAAGAAACTCAAATATTATATAGATAAAGTTGTTGCAAAGGGTTTAGCCGGATACGTATGACGAGTCGGCCCCCAAATGGGAATCGATATTGAAACTTATGTTTTAATATCGACTTGATGTTCAAACACGATTTATGTACTTTTCGCGACTGACTTCCGCTTTGACCTTGAGATAGAGAGCAAAATATCCGTATGCTTGACTATTACTGAATGTGATATATCTCTGAAGCTAATTAAGATAAAGAAGTGAAACTAACGCGAGGTGTTAGGTTACATTACAGAGTATATCACATATATTTTTTTATAATTTTTATTATAAAAAATTACATTAAAAAAATAAAAAAATCATGTTTTTTTTTCTGAGTTCTCTGTGACTTACAATCACGAAATTAATATATGTTATGCTCCTTTGTGTGCTTTATTACCCATAAAAATTGCGTGAAAAAAAAGTTGGTGCAACACAACGAAAAAAAATTATATGTGATTCGCGCCTTGTAGTGTGAGTGTATAAACAAACAAGTTCGAACTTGTTATCGAGCTGTTTACTGCATCGTTTGTTTAGCTAAAGTAGCAGTCATTTGTATTACACAAGAAGGCAGTTTGGGACTCAAATTCTGTCATAGGTATTTTGTATCAGCATTTTGAAATTATTAACTATCGAACCAAATTATTATTAAGTAATAATGTCGAAAAAGTGTAAAAATTGTAACAAGTACCTGTGTAAGATCCCTGGTTATAAAAAAATTATAAAGAATGAAGAAGAAGCTAAACTCAGGAAAAAAAAAAAAATTTTCTATTTTTATTTTTTAATGTAATATTTTATTCTAAAAATTATAAAAAAATATATGTGATATACTCTGTAATGTAACCTAACACCTCGCGTTAGTTTCACTTCTTTATCTTAATTAGCTTCAGAGATATATCACATTCAGTAATAGTCAAGCATACGGATATTTTGCTCTCTATCTCAAGGTCAAAGCGGAAGTCGGTCGCGAAAAGTACATAAATTGTGTTTGAACATCAAGTCTATATTAAAACATAAGTTTCAATATCGATTCCCATTTGGGGGCCGACTCGTCATACGTATCCGGCTAAACCCTTTCTGTTTAACATTTAAATCTTTAAGCTTGAACTTCTATTTCGCAATTTTCATATTACCCTTTCACTCGATTATGTTGGATAAACTTTATAAAGACAAAGATAAATACTAATTTGATGTGTAACTTTGAAATTGATGACCCGGAGTCCTGTAAAGCGTATGTGGACGAAGGGTTTGGTAAGCTTATAGTTTTGACACAAAATATTCGAAGTATTAATAAAAACTAACATGGAAACATGGAACTCTATGGAAATATTTTTAACACGACTTTATTTTAAGCCCGATATAATAGTTCTGATCGAGTGTTGGCTTAATGAGACTTTCAATATTTTTCCTATGGACGGATATATGTGCGATTATTCGAAATTGTATCTAAATCAAAATGACGGTATCGTCCTATATGTAAGATCTAACCTTATGATATCAATTTCTGAGCCTAAATTTACTGACGCAAATTGTTTATTGCTAAAAAATCTGATACTTTTACAGTGATTGCTATTATAGATAGGAGAGATCACCATTCTTTCATAACACCAACAATTTCTTATTCTCCTTACAAAATATTTTGAAAGAATGCACGGAACCACATTCTGTGATCATAGGAGACATTAACATAGATATAAAGTTCTTCTGATACACGCGCTGAAGATTATTTAAACCTTGTGGTCATCATTATTTAACAAGAGGTTCTAGTCGTTTGAATCACTGCATGATTAAGTCGAGTCTGAAATCGACTACTGTATATCACTCACTCATTACCGATCATAGTGCTGTACTATGTAATCTAGGTATACCTCACACCAAAGAAAAACCGGTTAGAGTTAACAAAAATTGATATGAAAGCTTTGCTTCATCATCTTGAGATAACTGATTGGGCTAAACTATATAGCCAAGAAAATATTAAAAATGATAAGGAGAACTTCACTTGTACCCTCAATAATGCTATGGAGAAATGTAAAATCATTAAAATATAACTTAACTCGGAGATTATAATTAAAAATTGGATGACGGTTGGTCTGTTAAAATGTATTAGGCGCCGAGATGAATTACACAAAAAAGTCAGAACATTTCCGGATGACATAAATTTTCAAACTGAATATAAAACTTATAGAAATAATTGAGTAAATATAATTCAAAATGTTAAAAATGAATATGAACGCAAACAATTAATTGTAAATAAAAATAATATTAAAAACAATGGGATGCAATAAAGGATATATGTAATATGAAAGAGGTTAATAATAATGACAATCTTCTTAAGCTTGATACTAAGCCTATTAAATCATTAAATATTATTAATACATATCTCAGTTCAGTAGTTGAGCAGCTAGCTGATGAAACCTTGAATCTACTGGCACAAAACTGAGAATTAATTGGCTAACAATATCAATCTTAAAAATATAAACAATTCAGCTAACTCTTTATTTTTTACCCAAAGTGATAAAATTAAGATTATTAAATTGATTGGTTCACTTTCAGCTAGTAAAGCCAATGGAAATGGTAACATTAGTAACGATATTTTAAAAGAGACGAAGTGTGTTTTAGCAAAACCCTTAGCACATATATGTAATCTTAGCATTACTTCAGGATAAGTGCCTTCTGCATTCAAAGTAGCTAATATTATACCTATTTTAAAAACGGGAAATTCTAAAGACCCTACCAACTATAGACCGATTTCTTTATTAAGCGCTATATCAAAGGTGGTCGAGAAGGTAGTAATTACAAAATTGCTAAAATTTCTTGAAAAACATTGTTTATTGTCCGAGAAACAGTATGGTTTTCGTTCGAGTAGATCTACTGAAGATGCTGTTACAAATCTCGTCAATCTTGTTATTACGAAGATTGACGAAGGGCAAAAATGCATAGGTGTATTTTTGGATCTTGCCAAGGCATTCGACACTGTTTCTCGACCAATACTATTAAAGAAACTTGAACGGCTGGGCATTCGAGGAATGGCCTTAGAATGGTTTAGATCTTATCTTTGCAAACGCAGACATCGTGTCTGTATTGCAAACCACTATACTAACATAAATTTTGGTGTGCCACAAGGCAGTATTTTAGCTTTTTTGCTTTTCAACATGTAAGTAAGGAATTGGAGTTTGTGAGAATTCTGAGAATCAGTATTGGGATGGAACTGGATTTCACCACACAGGGTATCCTAGCGTGGAATCCAGGGTAACTAAGTATGTATTGCAAACATTTTGACAGTACTATTATAAATATAACGTTCAAATTGTGATAGCGTGGAAAATATATAGTTTTACATTTAATTGCTGTCTAAGTTTGTAAATGTCAGTTTTTGTTAATTATTATTTTAGGACATACCACGAACTACAGAGCAAATTCAGCGCTGCGAAATTCAAAGATAACGACATATCAAACGATTTCAGCGAAACTACTCGTTCACCTCCTTAGCTCTATAGTCCACGGTGTAAACCAAAGTACTTTGTATAGTACTTACTAGGTATGAAAATTTGTGCAGAGTATTTAACTGTGAAACGATGTTCACCCAATAAATAAAGTATCTTGAAAGAAAATAATATATTATTCACGATTTCTTAGGTTGTAAACAAGAAGGAGACAAAACCAACTTAGCTGTCTTGTCTTTCTGCAAATTTTGATTGAGTCCATCATAGACTTATAACAGTTTAAAATCATCTTAATAGATGCATCGAAACATACGTTTAGTATAATACCGTAAATTGCTAATGCGCTACAACCTAGTCAAATAACACTCACGTGAGGTCATACGAAAAACAAAGTATAGACAGCACAAAAGTTAAGACATAAATTATATATTACTTATTTAAATATTTTTGAGTAATCCCCAAAATATTGTTATAAATAACTGTTAGTTTGTTAATTGAATGAATTTTTGGAAAATATTCTATTTGTATGTAAATATTGAGGTATATGAAAAATAAAACAAATATGAAAAAAATAATATGTATTAGGTGTAGGTAAAAATAGTGCAAATTTTTCCTTGCTGTTATGACAATATTTAAATTTCAAATTTATAAGTGAGCTTTAAGAATTGATTTTTCATCATTCAAGTCAAAATTAAGTTTACAATGTCGGTGAGTAAAGAACATTTTCGCCATTGTCTTCTTTACGAATATCAACAAGGAAAAAAGACAAAAGATGACTTTAAATCATTGACTTACGTTTTTGGTGAGGATACAGTTAGTTATTCAACAATTACTAAGTTTCAAAGGCGGCAATTACACTTTGGAGGATTATGAACGCCAAGGTCGCCGAAAGGTGTTTAAACGATAATTTGCAAGTACCTATTGCTTGATGAAAACCCATGTCGAACTCAAGAAGAATGAGCAGAAATTCTCGAATTGAGCAGGCAACAATTTCCAAACTGTCTTCGCAATTTTTCAAGTAATGAGAAAAATTGCAAAGACCTTAAAAACGAAATGTTTTTATGTCGAAAACCAATGCATCTTATCATATGCTGAATTATCGTATGCTGAATATGCTTACAACAATTTTAACTAATATTCATCAAAATCTTTATTTTTACTTTAAGCATGAATAACTAATCTTATAGCAAAAAAATCAATAGCTCATAATGAGAAAGTTTTTAAGAAAAAAAGAAAGCACTTTACCAGATGGCGACTTTAGCAAAAACTGTTTTTTGCGGGAAATGAATGGACCAAATATAAAATACTATTTCTGTTCCTTTTTAACTAACATATTAAAAAACTGAAATTTACAAAGTTCGAATCTTAGATAACAATACAAATACGAAAAAGTACAAATAGAATATGAGTTTTGAAAATGAATTTACTTTTATGCATAAAAGAAAACCGGAAAGGTTGTCATGGAGAAATCAAGAAAGTACCGTAGCGACAATCTAGTTTGATTTCAGGAATTATTTTATTTTAATACTTCATCAGTAGAGTATTCGGCATCTATTCGGTTCGAGTATTTCTATTTTCTTGGCAGTATAGACCTAAAAGACAAAACTTATGGAAAATATATGTATGTTACATAATAAGTAAAAAAATCCTATGAAAAATACATGGCAATTCGCATTAATACAATGTCCAATCTACACCGGTTGGACCGCGGTCTCCGGGCATCTAGCTCGGAGGCAGATAATTATCCTTTAGTCTCCCTTGCCGGTTATCTCCATCGTCTAATAGAGGACCACATCTTCACCGTTACTGGTTCTACAGTGTAAATAAAAACCCTTCCTCGGGTTGTAGAACACTTTAGTAATATGTTTACAATTTTTTTTACTGATTTATACCATATGAAAATAACAGAATTTTCACGAACTGACATTCAGAAAGAGAATACTTATCGCGTTACTTTAAATTTCAAATAACTTTTAACAATTTTATCCCTAAGGGAATAAAATCCCCAAGGGAATAAAATAGGGGATGAAACTTAATTTCAGGTATTTAATACGATATAATGAATAAATATTCGTTAGAAGTGCTTCTCAAAGTAACTTTACCACGCGGACGGAGTTGCGGGCAAAAGCTAGTCAATCCATAAAAGTTGAGTAAATAGTCCGGCTTAGACTTTGTTCTTCAGTTTTTATCTTCTTAGCCAAATTAGGGGACTCTTTTCTTCACAACTCATCTTTAGATTATCGATCACGACACTTTTCGGATCACTTTCATCAATTAAGTAGACTCGAAGTATGTCCATATAGGCGATTTATTTTTAGAGGCCCTAATCGATTATTATTTTTATTTATTATTATTATAAAAGTAGGTAGGTAATTATTTTTTGTTTATTTGTTGAATCTTTCACAATTTCACTTACAAACAAATCAAAAGGAAAAGTGAATTATTAACTGTACTTAACGTATTTACGATATGCACATGTAATGGTGTGTGGAATCGACTACCATTAATCGATTAATCGATTGTTCAAATAATCAGTTGCTATCGATTATTATTTCCTAATCGACGATTAACCATCGATTATTTCTTGAAACGTTAGCAATAGGGATTGTTTAAAACGTTAGTATAGTACCTACTTACTTTACTTTGATGGCTCAGCAACCCATAGCGGATCGCAAGTGTGAACATTATTAGTAAATATTCTAATACAAATAGGTAACTTTACTCTTTGGTCTTTGGTCCCGATGAATGAATGAACGGATCTTACAGTTTTATTTTAACAAATACAAATTAACCGTTTCTTACTAAAAGCACATGTAAGTATACACGGTACATACCTATACCAAAATAATATTTTTTACAGATTTTGTCTGTCTGTTTGTTCCGGCTAAACTCCGAAACGGTTAGACTAATGTTTGACGGGACTTTCACTGGCAGATAGCTTATGTAATAAGGAATTACTAAGGCTACTTTCCATGCAGACGAAATCGCGGGTACATCTAGTTTAATTCTATAAATTTTGCATGTACACTTAAAATTTGTATCTAACTATTATTCATTAACTTGGATTGCTTTAAAATACGGTGGAATTAATCTGAAATCTTTAATAAACTTTTGGGGTAAAAATATTTAATAATCGGTGACATGAATCGATTATGATATTATAAACTTGTCAAAACACGTAGTGCACGGGCGGCCCGGTGTAAAAGAGAAGTGAGTACATTACAACAAATGAGCGCGAAAAAATTACTTTGATACAAGTTTTGGCGCCACATACCGGCCGAACACTTATGCTTAATATTCGGCTATTAGGGCAGTATCGTTGAATATTCAGTATTCGGCATATGGCCGAATATACTATTCGTTGCAAGTCTAATTTAAAATGGTCACACTGGTACTCTACTCAACCTATAAATGAGAAAGTATTTCAAAGAAAAAACATTAGTTCCCGAAATCAAACTAGATGTCGCTATGGTACGTTCTTGATTTCTCCATGAAAACCTTTCCGGTTTTCTTTTAAGTTTAAAAGTAAACTAGTTTTCAAAACTCAATAAGCAACTCATATTCTATTTTTACTTTTTCGTATTTGTTTTGATATCTCAGTTTCGAACTTTTCAAATTTCAGTTTTTTAATATGATAAAAGGAACGAAAATGACTGTCTTTGATCCATTAGTTTCCTGCAAAAATCAACTTTTGTTAGGTCTACTCTCGCCATCTAGTGAGGTGCTTTTTTTAATGCTTTCGTTTTTTTTAATACTTCCTCATTATATACCATTTCATCCATCACACGGGAGATAAAACTATGGATTAAATTAATTTTAATAGATTATTAGACACTAATAACAGTTAAGCAAAATAAAATATAAATTCTCACTTTGACTTAAAAAAATCTATTGGTTTTGTTGTAATTAACACAAAACGTGTATTTAACTGTTTAATCAAAGTTATACTTAAATATTTTCGATTTTATATATATCAATTGTACATCCCTAATCGACTGTTTGACATTTTGACAGTGACATTTGTAATTTAGTTTTCGCGCAAATTTGCTTTGATTATTTGTATTTTCTTTCCTTATAATGGCTCGTAATTGCAATGAAAATGATGATGATAGCATTGATCCAACGTCTGTGACATCCAATGTAAAAAATACTATTAAACAAGTAAGTATTTCTGGTTATTAAGATAGCTCGTAGTTTATTGATTTTCTCCGTTTATTAATTTACGTTTTCTTTTACTTTTAGGAAGTGATCAAAGATCTTCTCAATGGTTCCTTCCAAGATAACAAAACTAAACTGGGTAATGATGCGTTGTCTTTAGTTGTGGAAGTGGCAAAATGTCTTGTTACTGAAACTTGTCTCAGAGCATCAAACCAGGCCCTCCGAGAAAGTTGCGACAGAGTCGAATTGGAACACGTAGAGAAGTGCCTTCCACAACTGGTCAGTATTTATTTTTACTGTACCTGTCTTATGTATATCAAATTCAAAATCATTTATTCAGTCTAGACTGTTACAAGCACTTTTGAAAGCTGAAACTCTATCCCATAATTTTACAAATCAATTGAAAGATTATCTTGTACCAAAAAAACTGATAAACTCAGCAAGGACTGCTTTTTTTCTCCCAATTTTATTTCATACAGAGATGTTGAAATGCAAAATGACTTCTATTCCTTTGAACTCCTCTGTATTTACTATGTATTGAAATCTCATTTTACATATAAAAATGTTTATCAAACTAATCATCCAACGATTTTTAATTTGATTACATAACTGTAAAAATTTTTGTACAATCTTTCAAAGCCAAAAATTAGGTAGTTTAAAACTCACATTATTTCATTTTTCCAGATGTTGGACTTTCCATAAAATGAATATAATAAGACCTTCCATTGAATTATGCTTAGAAGAATTTTTGATAATGAATGCTTGAACCACAGGATTCATGAACAATAAGTAAGCTGAGGTTTTCTTCAGTAAATTATTTACAGTGTTACCTGTAGCTCATGCTGATGATTAATTTATCTATCAATGTTGTTCATCTTTTTTTTACCAATATGTTAAGCCATGAAAAAGTACAATCTTAACCAAATAATTATTAAAGTAGTAAAAAAGAACCTGTGGCTGGAACCACAGTGTTTATAATAGTGTTTAAGTGCTTCACTTTTAAATTAAGAAAAATGTATTCTTATAAATATTTATGTACTGTGTTGTGTGTGTATGCATGGCCACATATCACACCACACCACCACTATCAGCATACTTCTTACTTTAGTAGGGTTCTGTAGGAAGCATGGTCAGTACAAAGTCCATAATGTAGTCTGATGTGCAGCTGTGTGTACCATGATTTCAGTAATAATATCTATAGTTTTCTTAAATTTTTGAAGAAGTTTGTTCAATACTATTTTATATTGAGGGTTTAGCTGAAAATCGGCGTCAGTCTGTTTCTGAAAAGTAAACAGACTGACAAAATGCCGAGCTAGATACTTATTTGGTGCAGTTGTGGGACACAATATTTTCTAATATTTTAATGTTGAATATCCCATTGTTAATTATTTTATTTTGATTAATTATTATATTTGAGTGTCCTATGTGCATGCGCCGAATAAATGAATTTTAATATTTATACAGATTCAATTTAATTATGTTTTTATTTGTAATTTTCATTTTCACATGAGATATGTAATTATCTCAGGGTTTACTCTATAGACTCAATTTCTCTTTATATTTTCATAGCATATTAACTTGTATTTTGTGAAAAATAATTGTTAAGTTAGTTGTAATGTTGATGTTAGATGTGATTTAACTCAAATATATTTTTCAAAAAAACAATTTGTGGTTTTAATTCTCCAATTGTAAACAACAATCCATAAAGTTGGCTTATGTGAGGCTAAAAATATTATGGCTACTTTGTTGTGTCAACATATGGATCCCGTGGCCAGTGTTGTTGGTGTAACTTTGACTTCCAAATAGTATGGAGCATTATTGGATAAGTCTATCAAAACATTGGGGGTGTGGGATGGTCGTTTTTAGATTTTGTAAACCGTTGGTGACGTATTAAGCTTTAAAGAGGCAATTTTCATTGGTTAAGCCCCCCCCCCTCCCCCACCAGCAACTAAACGTTCGTTGGTAAAAATTCAAACTTTACGGCAGTAGTACCTATATATAACGAAGTTAGAAGGAAAACTATCTAACTTATGTTGGCTTTACAAGTTTACGAGTAATAGTCGCCTTCATAGAAAACTAGACGTACATTTTTTTTTTGATAATAATACGGAACACTTCGTGCCACAGGCCGGCTCTCACTTTCTCGTTATTTTATATTACTATTTTCATACCAACTGTTTATAAATATAATTTATTAAATACTTGATGATAACAGAGGAGAAAAATAATAAATAAAACAAACATGCTATCAGGTTTTCATCACTTTTATTATACAAAGTATTTTCAGAGTCTGTTCTATAAATAGTAGGTGAAATGTAAAATTCAAATTTTCAACAAAAAACTTATACCTCTTTAATCAATTTTTTTTTGTGATGTGGCATATTGGACATGGATTTCAGTAAATTTTTGTGCTGCTTACATTTTAACTCACTGAATTCCAAACATATGTTCTGTATGTAAACTCATTTCATTTATATTACACTTGAATAATATTAAGTAATAGGCAATTTCCAGGTCTTAAAAAATCAGAAATGACAATTATTGTAAGGTATGTATACCTAATGATTTTTAAACAAACATTTCATATACAATTGTACAGTCAACAGCACGTAAGATTAATGCAAAGGAGAATGCGGCTATTTTTGCGTTACCGTGTACCTTGATGAAATTAACGACTAACTATAGAGAATTATTTCTAGAATATGTAAGAAAAAAAACCATTTCAAAATTATTCGGGAGTTTGAGAATATCTGAATATTACATTTTTCTACGTATTTAAGATTAATCATAAATAAATAATAATTAAAGAGAAGATTTTTGAGAAATAAATACGTCGTGCGCAATTTTGGCCGATTTTCCCATTCTCCTATGTATTTAAATGTATTGCTTAGAAATCTCACATTATAAGTATATAGTTTAACGTGATTCACACGGTTGTAAACCAGCTTTCCATCAAGGATGACCTTGGTATCAACTCGCAACACAACTGTCTTTGATGGCCTGTAAACCGCCAACTAGACGGCTGTTAATCCCACGTTCTAACGGTCCATTACCATCAACATGGACTTTGGAGGTCATATTATCGAAATAATCATGTCAAATAAGAACTAAAAAAAATTATTAACGTATCGAGTAATGTGATAATCTAAAATGGAGCTTATTTTTTTCTTATTTGACATTGAATCTTAAAATAGTCAGGATAAAATTGCGAGGCTGATAATTATTATTAAATAGTACTATGATATGCTACACAACCCCAATGCTACGTTTAGTTTCATGTACTACTGAAAAAATATTCTTTCGTCATAAGGTTAAAAAGTGCACATTCACAATTACATTTTTGAATTATTTCCATATTTGAGTCAAACTATAAAATCTGTAATTTTAATGCATACATTTTTAAAATACCTTCAAAATAAGTTTTGACAGTTATTATAAATTTATAACCTCAAAACATTATTTAGAAATTACTTATCTCCCTGGCTTCCACATAAAAAGATGCAAAGGTATTATTGTATTTTAAGCACAAACTATTTTAAATTATTACTAATGGTGTAGACGCTACCTTTAAAAAAACATGTGACAGGTTAATCATTGTATGGAAAGTGGACATGATTCATTGGCTTGCAATAGCCGTCCAGTTAGATAGTTGGCAACAACCAAGGTCGCTTTCGTCGGAATGCTGGTTTACAACTGTATGGATATTACTTAACAAAACTATATCAATGTCAATGAAAAGCCTATTTCTTGTGCTAAAGTTAAAATTCTTTAACCCATTACTTTGTAACAGCATCGTAGACTTCTGGGAAATGCCTGAACACGATAAGCTATTATTGTCTACTACTACAGCTATTTTACAGCCATTTTACATTTTGAACCACACAGATTATGGATTTTGATATAAAAAATATTTTTAAAGGCGGATGTGAACACCTCGATACCGTATTACATTTACAATATTTTAAACCTATGACGAGCATTAAAAATGCCCATATACACGTTAAATATCTATGTTGAAAACTGTACGTAAATTGTTATAAATAATTACAATTATAATATAAAAGTATTCGATGCGACGCTCAATTTTACCACATTCAAAATAGAGATCAAAGCAATTAGGCAATTGGGATGACGACTGATTTTTGTCTGTCCGTCAGGTAGATTGTTGAAAATATTAAACATTATTTTTTTTTGTAATCATTAAATTACGGAGATATATTGGATTAAAATATCACATGACGTCACGCTTTGGTACATTTTTTACAAAACCGTAACTAAATTTCTTGTTAAATTGAAATGAAAAAAATATGTATCTTATATCTGACGGACTAAATAGAATTTCTTTTTTTTTTACCCCAGTCATCATCCCTATTTTCAATATCATTTCAGGTGGATTAGGCGAATTTATAGCTATAGGTACAATAATTTAAAAACTGTAAGAACCTTTGGTATTGTATTGTATACACGTAATAAATATTAGGGGTTTTATCTCAGTCTTATTATAAAAGGAGGACTAAAGTTAACACTCGACTTAAACTATTGGCTTCCTAAAACAAATTGACAATGACATATGAGAAAACGTAAAATTGAGACGTCCTCACACTAAGTACTAACTTTAGTGCGAGGTTTAAATCATCATCTGACCAACTTATGTCAATAACTTCAGTCCCAATTTGATTTCTTTTCTAATATTTTCATTTTGCCAAGGTTTTAAACTAAGTGCTAACTTAAGTCCACCTTTTGTAATAAGATGGAGAGTGTCGTTCCATAGGGGCGGAGGAACAGGCGCATATTTACTCTAAGGTCAAAAGGGCGGCAATTCATTCATTTTCATATCACTTCCGAGTCCGATCTAAAGAACACTATTTAATTAAACATTTTTGTAGATATAACGGATGTGGCTCACTGATGTACACACGGCCGCACGTCAGACTATACATTGTGGAGTTTGTACCGACCGCGCGTCGTATAGAACTTCCCTACTTCCAGATGTCTGTTTACGGTGGTGGTGTGTAACGTGACGTGCGGCCGTGCGTACCGGCGCAGAAGGATAAAAAGCGTGGCAAATGTCAGCCAATCAGAATGATTCAAACATCACGCCAAACGAGTGTGAGTGAGAAAGAAATTAAATGTGAGTGAGAAAGAAATTTTGTTTTATTTTGTGTGTTTCAGATTTGTTTTCGCTCTAATGGATATAATAACACTTACAAACGTGAAAAGTCTGCGATAAGCTAGAGTAGAGGCTACGAGATATTTGATTATATTCTTCACCTGCAAGCATATCAAAGCATATTCTATACTGAACATAGACTTATGTGGTTTAATAGAACTCTATATATTAAGCAAACTACTTGCGACTTGCTCTAGCCTGCATATTGCCAATGTTTATTTTGTATTTTTATATAAAATTAATGACACTATTAGCCAGTCGCTCAAACTTCCATTAAAAATATCATTAGTTAATGCGACATTACCCATGCAAATTTGACATTACATTAGTGTTTAAATGCATCATTAAACCTTAATGAATGTTTGTGCAACTGACCATATATATTTTTAATTACACGAGTTTAAACCAAAGAAAAAATAGCCAAGCAAATTGAATATCTGTAAAAACAAATACACTAAAAAATCCGGATCTCTATCAGACAACGAATAGTATTGAGCCTTTTTTTATCGTAAAATGTTCCTCGAAGAGAACTAGTCAAGACCGCTACGGTACTTCTGCCAGAAAATTACTTAAATTCTATAAAAGGTAATACAATATACTTAGATTCTATTCTACATTCAAAGGGAATTTATTGATCGTTCATTGATAAGATACTCTCATTATTTTACATTTACTATATTTTAGCATAGGCTGAATAATTTTGTTGCTAAGTAAGGCGTTACACATTTATTACTTAAGACGATATTTGCTAGATTTTTATCCCTTTTTCCTTTATGTAAGAAAAAAAGAATCTATTTTTCTTTAAAATTGTGGTGTAAGAATCTAAAGGGCAAATATAAAATGGTTCTATTAATGCTTGGCACTTTTATAGTACTGGCTGAACCAACAAACATTGTTTTGCTATATAAATTTGGGGTGAACCACCCATATCACTTAGAGTTATTAAACATTGATAACAATCTACTCTCAAACCTACTGAATACATATAAAATTTCATCAATGCGGTCAAGCCATTTTGGACGAGTATGGTAACTAAAACTGTATGATAACATAGGGGTAGTCTTATAAGCAATAAATGTATAGTACTTACTTTGTAAAGCCTAAGCTGTTTACCAAGATTTGATCGGTTATTCCCATACTACTGGGAGTTGGCAAGAGCATACATACGCATGTAATCAGCTTAATAATGATTACAAATGGTAACCTTAGTTCTGAAATATTAAAATATTGCAATCGTTACATTTAACCACTTATTCATAACCGCATAAGGCTACACTTTTAACGAGTATTCTTCAATCACTGTTTATATTTATAGTATTTACATGATTGAAGATTAAATCTAATCTATAATCCAGGATGAAGGTTACTCATTGTAATCTAAAATCTGGATTACTCTTCGCCCATTTCTGGGGAGTGTATAAGACTCGATAGATCTTGCCTTCATTGTCACTCTGCTTATCTGGTTGGTATTTGAGTGGAGCCAACATGTTTTATATGTTTTGGGCATCACTTCCGCCTTTTCATTACACAGTAAAAAAGTATATAGCACCTCACTGACATAAGGATACTTGGACAGAGCTTACATGATTTATTATTTTATATTTTTGTTGATTGCAGTTCTGTATTAATTACGCTTCATAAATAACATCACTTAATTAATATAACAAAAATCATTAGCACTCTCTCATTCAAATTCTCTATACACTCATTATTTTTAATACAATAAGGCATAAAACTTCTAATGCCCATAAGCTTACATATTTAGATCTATATTTAACCAATGTTAGCCTAAACATAGTGCGATATTATTTCTTCTTTTATAATAATGAATGCTAATCATATGATAATGTTTTTAAAAAATGGTATCAAAGATATTATTTAAAATTACTTACGGTTTCATAAAAAAACATCTGAAGCCATTCTCGATGTTGCAACTTGAAACAATTCACTAATATTCGCGTTCGATTGTGTTTAAAATTATATGCCCTAGCAAAATAGCAGGGTCACTCAAATCACAGATCAAATTTAGAATAGGTCCATCTCATCGTTGCACGTCACCTCGAGGAAGTCATCGTCTTCGTAATCTTGTACTGTGCGCGGATCCGTTCGATCGGGTAGTGGGGATAGAGGCCTCGCGGGGGAGAGGGGAGCGTCTGTTTGTGCGTCAGTATCGCTTGAACACTCGCGCGCGTCGGTCGCAGGTGACGGCGGGGGATTCGAACCGTGTTCTGATTGCACTGTCGCCTCTCCTCGTGATAACAATGAAGGTAGTTCCGAATCTAAAAATAAATAAATATTTGAAAATATAATTAGTTTTTTTCTCCTAATAGGGAATATTCACATTTTTTGAAAATGTTTTTATATAATAATTTACATCGATATATAACTGTAAAAAAATAACCGGCACCGAAAAACTAAAATTTTGTTATATTAATCATTGATGAAAATAAGTAATAGCTACGATCAGTTTAAACACCGGAATTTTGGGCGCGCCCGTCGTGACGTCAAAGTACACGACTAGAGATATGACACTTTAAATCAATATGTTATATTATAGTAGACTTTTTTAATAAATCATATACAGTGAACCCCCAGTAATCCGGCCCCTGTCTAATCCGGCGCCCCCTGTAATCCGACATGTCCGAATATTTTTTGGTAGATACGTAATGCATGATTGAACAGGTCATAATTTGTGCGCGCCACCATTATTGCGCTCGACGCGTAGGTTTGTTTGTTTATTACGTACATTTGTTTGTACACAATTATTTCCTAATGCAAATTATTATTTTTCACATTACTCACTCGCATCACTTTTACATTATATTAATACGTAAGCTCTATATTATGTTTTTTAATTTACCTACTAGATTCAATATACATAATGAAGTATGATTTGTACTTCAGAGTAATATAGATATATACATAACATATAGATCTTTATCACTGATCTGTAATTAAAAAAAAAAACTATAGGGCGTATTTGACAGTACTCTATAATCCGACAAATTCGATAGTCCGACACTGCCCTGCTAAACGTTTGTCGGATCACCGGGGGTCCACTGTAATTGACCAAATTGGTGAAATAAAAATAAAAGCCTAAAAAAATCATTTAAATTGTAATCAGTTGTTTATTTTGCGACATAATACATTGATGTTATTGCATCGATGTTAACTTTTTGTAACAACGACATCCCTATACGTGTATCATTTTCATCACATCCGCTAACTGTACAAAATTTAGTAGCATGGCGTTTAAATTTTTTAAAGTTACCGCATTTATTTTGCACTTTTTAATAATTATTTTCAAGACGAAAACAAACTAATGTTGAAAAATATTTAGATAGACTTTATTCTAAAGCAATAAAGATTGTAATAAAATATACTTAATCCTTTTTTGAATCAGACGCATATTCCCTATTAATTGTATACAAAAAAAAACTACATTATCCAATTTAAATTACCTGTAAGACTCTGTTTAAGCTGCTCCATTACTTTTTGACGACTGTTTGTACGTGACTTTTTGATCCTTCGAGCTGTCTCACGGCGGTCTTCATTAAATAGCTTCGTAACCATTTCCTGAGATATGTCGTCGTCACGCTTAAGAAGGAAAAAGAACACCCCACCAGCAGTACGGCGACGAGTTCCATTCTTAAAACATAAAGATAATATTTTAAAATTAAGGGCTCTTATATATAAATCATGATACGACGCGGTATTACTGCACTAGGCGACATTGTTACGTGAAAATCTACGACACGACCTCGCAACGTGCCACGGCACACGGCACGACGACGAAGTTAATACGATGCCGCATTGAAATATTATTGATATTTCAATTCCTATTCTGATATAAAAGAGATTTATTATTTTCCTACAGAAGATTATTTGTTTTAGATTATTTTAGAAAGTATGTTTTTCAGTCCTTATAGGCGCATCTAGACAGCAAAAGTAAAGTTTAATTTTATCCCCTTGATTCTTTCACAATAATGAATTTATTTATTGATGATAGTTTGAAAAATAAACAAGGGATGAGCTTTGCAGATTCTTATATTTTCACATGTAGAGGGAGAATGGAAGTAAAAAACTGTCTTACGTTAATTAACAAATAGGCGATGCCTACGTGGTTGTTTAGTTTTCTATTTTATTGTCCATCAAAAGAATCATCATGAGCTATCATAACATATTCACGAGGTGTGAACTGATAAGTGGACCCAATGGAGAATTATGTCAAGTGATAACTATAGAAGGCGAGAGGTGACATCGCCTTGCCATGGAATAAGGAGCCTTGCCCCTTTGTGCTTATTTATGCTATGCTATTAATTTAGTGCAAAATCAAAGGTTTTGACCCTATTATATTTTTACAATTTGGTACAAATTCATCAATCACACAACATTTATTTATAAAGAGAAGAGAGGGTTTTACCATAACCAGCATGCCACCATCAGCTTCAACCTTCTGTGTTTGTCTGTAGAGGTCTATAGCTTTTTGAGCACCTAGGAATTGAACAATCCTCCCTGAAAGATAATACAGACTTAAAAGGGATCAATATCACAGTTTGAAAAAAACCTTATATATACACATAACTACCCCCCAAGCATGAACAATGCATACAGTGTAATATGTTAGTTCCCTCATTTACTCATGTGAAATGTAAGTCGGAAAGCAAAATTTAACAGTGATAAGAATGCTGGCTGATACATAATATCTCAAATACATATTATTCTTCAAATACATATTGTATGGTGGAACATTGCTTAATATATTCACTGGTGGGCTTTCTTGAATCCAATAAATATTACAAAAGATAAAAAGAGCTAAATAACATAGTCTTTAAATATTGTTTTGAATTTATATTTGAACAAAAATTTTCATTTTTTTTTTTGTTATACTCACCAACTAAATCTTTTTTCTCCTCAGCTAATTTCTCAGCTATTTCATTAGCAATAGCTTCAATAGGGTCCTGCGATGTCACCAACAAGTCGGGTAAGAATTTTGGATTCTGTTTAGTTTCCGATTGTCGATGACTGTTAACTCTTTTACCAAGTCTCAGTTTGACATTAGTCATATCTGACCTTCTTCTTTTATTTGAAGTTCGTTCACGACAGTCTTCATCATTCGCAAATACTTTCTTAGATACATAGTTATCATCTAATCTATACTTAATAGTGTAATCATAAGATTCTACACCATAATTGCTGCTTTTCTTAGTAACATCACATCCTACCATATCTTCAGTTAAAAGATCCTCCTAAAATAGTTAGGAAACATAATATAATTTATCATTAATTATTATCAACTGTTAAAATATGATAAAATTAGTAAACACATTAATATAGAATAACATACTAAAACCAAGACAATAATAATAATTTATTTATATATTAGAATAAAATTCAATAATATTATCACCTGCAAAGCTTTACTCCAAACATTATATTTATCTTTTTTGTCAGAATGTCCAACAGCCTGAGATTGTGGTCGCAACGGCCTCAATTTAGTACGTTTGGGTCGCCGCCTTGGCTCATCATCCGAATCTGAACCATCCGAGGACTCTGGCCACGAAAGTTCATCACTCTGCTCATCTTGGATTTTCATGTGCACTAAAGACGGTGGATTGAAGGCCTCCGGTCGTGTCAGAGGAATATACGTGCCCTCTTCCACGTCCGAATCTTCCAACTGCAATATACAAACACTCCATCGTTTACAAATTAATGACGCCTAAATGTCATGATGTGAAAGTTTCTCTATTTTTTCTAGAAAATTTTGCAGATTACATATCACACGCAGATCACAATAAAGAAATAAAACTAAATGTGAAGATGACAATTTAAACAGAGGAGTTGTAAGAAAACCACAAAAAATATCCAACGTAGAAGTTGCACTCTAACCTCTCCTTCTTCCTTTTCGAGGGACACCTCGACGTCCAGTTCTCCTTCTGTGGTTGACATCATGATGAAGAGACGAAATGTTGGTCAAAAAGTAGAAGGTCATCAATTTTTTTAATGAAAAACAGCTATTCCGCCTTTTTTATTACTTTCCTAACCTTTGCTTATCTGTCACCTGTGTCTGTCACTGTCAAATGTAGCAGTACGAGGTTCATCAAGAATGAGCGAGTTAATGAATGATAGATTGCGAATCATCATTCATTGTTCTGTTCTTTTCAGTACAGGCTAAGGTTACATACCTTACTACCGCTTGATTACTAATATTAATTTAAATATAAAATTATGTATAAAAAACTTTGGTATATAGTGACTTTGGACATAAAAATGAAATTTAATAATATAAATCGTGTCTTATAAAAAGAGTTCCTAAACAAAACTTTCCTTTCGCTGTCATTGATCATGACAATTATTTACTGCTGTGAATATAAACAGATTCCATTCGGAAGAGCAGTAAGTGTTTTAATTTTAATCGGAATCTATCTTGTCAAACCTTGTCACTGAATTTTAAAGCAATTGTCCTCAATCGGTTAAGCTGAAGCTTCACACATATTTAGTCTAGATGGCAATGTGCAGTAAGCTCATCATCATCAACCCTTTTACGTCCCCATTGCAGGGGCTCAAGCTTTCCTTATGGATGGTTAAGGAGGATGGACCATGACCCTCCACGCAGTCCCAATGCGGATTGGAGGATATTAACGACTGCAAATGCAGCCGGGACCACCGACTTAACGTGCCTTCCGAAGCACGGAGTAGCTCGAGATAATAATATTTTTTTTTGGTCACCCATCCCGTGACCGACGAAAGTTGCTTAACGACAACGATCGCGGGCCGCGACGCTTATCCACTACGCCACCGAGCTACTCTGCAGTTAGGTAAGTGATATTATTTTTAATCTTATATGAGGGGCGCCCTAAATAATATTATATCAATAATGAGAGTATACTGAATAAGAAATTTTACACCTTTATGAGGTAAATATCAAATAGTTGGCTAAGAAAAAAAAAAATTCTTCTTTTCCAATATGACGGATCGAAGATGGTGGACAAGTTATCTTTAAGAACTCACATGGGTATCGAATGAAACTGTTAGCCGAGATGATCATTGGAAAAACCGGATTTCATTATATAGAGGAATTATTAAAAAAAAAAAAATTCTTTCAATTCAATAATATAGTTCCCGGAATCCTTTTTGATTTCTCCATGACAACCTTTCCGGTTTTCTTTTATATTTAAAAAAAAAATAAGTTTTCAAAACTCACTTAACAACTCATATTCTATTTGCACTTTTTTTTATTTGTATTTATATCTAAATTTCGAACTTTTTAAATTTCAGTTTTTTAATATTTAAAATGAACGGAAATGACTGTCTTTGGTTCATTAGTTTTTTGCAAAAATCAACTTTTGCTAAAGTCGCCATCTAGTGGAGGTGCTTTTTTAGTGCTATTGTTTTTTGCTATTTTTTTTTTAAATACCTACTTCCTCATTCTATGATGGTGGACGCAGGCCGGCTTGTGAACAAAGATAATGAACTATTTTTATCCGACTGCGCGATGCAAAGGAGGGTAATGTGTTTATTATCAATCTATGGATGTATGTATGTATGTTTGTTTCTATTTGGCGTTCTAGAGACCAAATGCGTAGGCCGATTTTGATGATTTTTTATGTTATCGATTCGTCTTAACCTTGCGAGTGTCACTAAAAAATTGACAGTAATCAAAATTCACCACAGCGACAACCAGACGCCATATTGTCAAAATAAAAAAAAGTCGATGAACTATTGGTCAGTTGCACAAACGTCCATTAAGGATTAATGACGCTTTTAAGCGCAAATGAATGTCAAATTTGTATCAGTAATGTTGCTTTAAACTAATGGTATGGAGAACTTTTTTTTGTATAGAGTTTGGTAATTTGTTCAAATTATCTCTAACCAAGCATAAAGTATATATTAATCAATAGAGGGTAAATAAGCTTTATACATGATCATTTTATTTTATTTTTAGACGCCGCCAAAATGTTTATTTTCTGATTTGAACATCATTTGGTGGATATATTTTATAATTTATGTAGCAACACATAAGTGAATTAAGAAAATCATTGGCAACCCCATCCCTAAGTTACGTTCTAATTCATGTTGTGAATCAATCTATTTTGACAATTATTTTTATTTTCTTTTAATTATTGATATTTTAGACATCTAAATGTCAAAAACAGAAATATTTTAAATAAATGGAAGCACGTCGTCGCAGATTAGGCCCGATTTGAGTCTATTCGGTGAGTAGCTTATTATAATAAATACATAGTTAGCAAATTATGAATTCGATTTTCACAATATTATTGTATTATTTGCCCACTAGGGATACTAAGATATAATAAGGTGCTTTGGAGTAATACCCAAAACAGTCAAATCCGGAAAGTGACGAGTTAACAACAAATCAGGCGTTTTGTGTCTGAAAAGTTGACTATTAAACGGGCTTTCATAAGATAAAAAAACTTTTGAATACAACAAATATATTCTTTTTTGTTTAATATGATTATCGAAATTTTCCCGCTTTCGTAATTACCCCAAAGTACCCTACCGAAGGCTAGGCAGTAGACAAAGATCCCTTTGCCTCTGTATTATCTTGAGGCTTTTTTTTTTAAATTGAGTTTTATGGCTGTGCATATTAGTGTTTCTAGGCAAAACATACCAATTTTATTAACCTAATTCTTTAAAACAGAGGAATTTTCAGGTCTGAAACTTTGATGAAAGGTAGAGAATTGGGTCTAGGAGCTATGATAATTTTCTTTATAGTGGTTAGATTTTTTCGGAATAAAGTACCAAAAAAAGTATTCTCCTTATTTGGTGTTTGCGCAACAGGCTGTATGTTAAGTGGGGTGTCGTTGAAAAGGTATTTTAGAATCATCTTTAGATTCCTTTTATCATTTTTCATTTTAAATAATAGTTTAGGATATATAACGATTTAAAGTTCTTTAACAAAACAATACTTCTCGCTAATATTCCTACTTTTTGATTTAAGTTTTTATTTAAAGTATAAACGATATACAAACAAAAAAAAAACAGTGAAAAAGCATGAAGAAGAAATATATTTGGTAAAAAAATAACATTTATATTCATCGCCAAGTCGCCGAGTAAAAAAAAAGTTTACCACCAAGCTCGATATATAACTAAAAAACCCGACTGCGTAAAAAACGAATTTGAAAAAACACATGACGAAATCAATTTAAATAAAAACTAAAAAGAAAGAAACAAACCTAGTAGTTTAGAATTCTGTTAAGCAATACAGAACAGAACGACTCACAGTCGGGGCCCATTCAAATTTTACCAATCAAATCTTCCCAAGCGGCCTGCGTAATATAAAAACGAGTTTTAAAAAATACATGAAAAAAATTAACTCACATAAAAACTAAAAAGAAAAAATCAAGCCCAGTAGTTTAAAATTCTGTTAAGTGATACTAAATAACTACACATTGAAATAGTTTTATATTCGATACACACATAAAACAAATCACAAATTCTAATACAGAACAGAACGTCTCACAATCGGGGCCCCTTGGGAAGATTTGATTAGTAAAATTTGAATGGGCTACCACATCAATGTAATAAGATATAAAATAGCGTGAGGAGTTTGACAGTTTTGTATAACTTGTCGTGCTATTCACTGTTTATAATTTACTTCATAGAAAAAAAAAAAACTTGGTCTTTGTCAATATGACAGTGTTATTATTAAGTTTGGAAACTAAAATTATGCAAAACAAGGAACTAATATGTGAATGATAACAACTTCGATTTCAATCTTCTTGTAACGTCGAATAACATGTAAATATTGTACATCATCATTAGCCTAATAATATCCCCACTACTGCGCCACAAGCGTATTAATTTATACCTGCGCGTATATATTTTTTAATAACTTAAAAAAATTACAAACCTACCAAATAATAAAGAATCTGTAACAATTTATACCGTGTAGTGGTCTCCTACGTGAAATTGGCAGGATTGTGGTTAACACAAAATAGCGATTAAGATAGAAGAAGAATAAGAACAATAGCTAGAAATGGAATCCTGCCTTAAATAGTAGAAAGGAATCGCTGGTAGTGATGATCTTTAGTTATTATAGGAGACGTCACACATCATCGCTACAATTACGTAAAATATTAGAAATGACCTTATTCTCGGTCTTACTCATTATATGAATTTGAACTAATACTAAAATTGCAAATTTAACGTAAATTTACTCTGACGCTAAACTTTGTTCATTAATAGCACTGAAGGTGAGAAATGCAGTGCAAAGAGGTTAAGCCATATGAAAAGCCCGATGACGCGCTATTTGAATCATTCTGACTGGTCAGGATTTGCCGCGCTTCGAAATTTTGCCTTCTACGCACTCACTGTTTAAAATTTTCCTATTTGTATTTCAAGGTCTACCGAAGGCGCAAGTAAAGTACAACCAACCAATTTAGATCCAACCATAGATCCCGAGACGGTAAAGCTACCTGAATTGAAACTATCAGAAGAGACAGATGAGTACGACCCAAGGGATCACAGGGAACCAAAAACTCCAATAAGGTACGACGAAAACGAAGGTGAGGAAGCAAGTGGAATTCGAGCTGTACAGCCTGGCCCATCGGCATAATGTTGCCTGCTTATCTGTCTTTTATAGGGTGTACTACATGGGCTGATGCGCTATTAATGCTAGGTTTTACTCCAAATTCTCTTAGCTATTATAAATATAAGCTAAACGATAATGTACTTAAATAAGTATTTATTATACCAATGGGCTGCCAGGGTGGGTTGCTAGTGGAGGAAAGTCAGTAATGAAAAAAAAATATTTTATTTGACAGCGTTTGGATGGCGTACTTTAACCTGATACGTGCGGGTTTCGGTGCGGGAATGCTTGGTTTACCCTTAGCTCTAAGTCAATCTGGAATAATTTTGGGTACAATACTAATGATGAGTATTGGATTACTCATCACCCACATGCATTGGACATTGGTAAGAGCAAGCAA